CAGGAAAAATGTTGCTAGAAAAAATTATGGAGAAAGTGAAAAGGAAGAAATATTTGAGAAAAAGTGACCTTGATTTCTGTATATTACATATTGATCATAACCAAATTCATGTAAAGAACTGCATTGGCCAGAGAATAAAGAGAAGTATGATCTTCAGTTAAATGTCAAATTTGACTGGACGTTTTGGTAAAAGGTTGTTTTCTTAACAAAAACAAATCTGTCGTGTGTAATGAGTTTCTGACAAAAAAAAAATCATTGAAGGTATTTATTATTATACAAAGCATGTTAATTACTATTCCCAACACTGCTACAAAGGTTATGGAGAATAAAATACTAAATGTGTTTTCAAAAGTATTTCTCATCACCAATTCAGTAAGAAAAACAAATGTAGGATATGTGAAACAAAAGGCTTCAGTGTTAATCTTCCAAGTATAGAAAACATCTTGTCCTCTGAGGACTTAAACCTATCAGTGTGAGGACTGGCAAGAGGGATTGTTTAGAAAAGGGCAATGAAGTTAAAGATACTGGAAAGAGAAGCTACTGTACTTCAACAATAACAAAAACAATAATAAAGCTTTTGTTTTAGACTTTTTTCTTTTAATCTTTTCAGTAATTAAATATTTCTGATCCTGTAACTCATTTCTTCAGTAAGAAATATCATCCATATATTGTCTACGAAATGCTTTTCTGTCTTGTTTCCTTTTTAGAAGTGTTATTTTGCTATTGCTTTGCGGTTTATTTTGCTGCCCTCTCGTTTTATGCTTCACTTAATTCAACAGTAAACACTGTCTTTAGACTCCTGTGAATAAATATAGTTCCTCCTTTCTGCCTCAAGAATCTACAACCAAATGTAAAATTATACCTTTTCTAGTTTTTAACTCTGTTCTCTGTAACAATTATGCTCCTCCGATTTCATTTATGTACTTAATGAAATTGTGTGCCGGTCGCTAGTGAGGCTTCAACTCCGGACCTGAGGCGGGAGCATTGAAGACGCAGCTCCACTTCCGGCTTCTGACTGGTTTACAGAAAATAAGGCGTCTGGACTTTCAGGTCTAGACAAGCCTGAGGGGGTCGGGTGGGGGACTATTGATGTTAAGTGATGTTAAAGAAACTTGATTGGTGAAAAGCAGCTCGACTCAAAGGAACCAATCAGAGACAGAAAAACTCAAGTTTTCATTTGCATAAAGCTGTCTATAAGAGGACAATATCCGCTCTGGGAGACTTCACTATCTTCGGAAGAGAACTGCAGGATGCCTGAGCCAGCGAAGTCCGCTCCCGCGCCCAAGAAGGGGTCGAAGAAGGCGGTGACCAAGGCGCAGAAGAAGGACGGCAAGAAGCGCAAGCGCAGCCGCAAGGAGAGCTACTCGGTGTACGTGTACAAGGTGCTGAAGCAGGTCCACCCGGACACCGGCATCTCGTCCAAGGCCATGGGCATCATGAACTCGTTCGTGAATGACATCTTCGAGCGCATCGCGGGCGAGGCGTCGCGTCTGGCGCACTACAACAAGCGCTCGACCATCACGTCTCGGGAGATCCAGACGGCCGTGCGCCTGCTGCTGCCCGGGGAGCTGGCCAAGCACGCCGTGTCCGAGGGCACCAAGGCCGTCACCAAGTACACCAGCTCCAAGTAAATGTAGTTCTGCAGCCACACCGGTAAACCAAAGGCTCTTTTCAGAGCCACTCACTGTTTTCACTATCTGGGCTGCGCGTTTGTGCCGTGTTGCGAGCTAAGTCTTACTGGAGGTGGTGGTTTGGGTGCAGGTTTTGGTGAGACCTGTCCTACGGTGCCATCCTGGGTGGTCACCTCCACTTAGCAGACGAGTGGTGAGCACGTAACTCCCCGTAGGGAGTGTGGGAACCAGTGGCAACACTTGCTGACGTCAGGTCGCCATTTTGTGTGAACTGCCACTTTGTCGGGAAATCACGCATAACAAGTGGACATTTCTAAACGCGCTCACAAAGCTGCTAATTCTACTCCTAGCGTTTTTTAATTCCCCTCCTCGGCTATGTGCTGGCACATCTTCTATAATCTTTCTGGAGGCAGTTCATAGATGTACACATGGGTTTTTGAGTTGGAGGAAAATACCTCTGTAATAGTGCCGCAACCTCTTGCCACCAGACAGGTAACTTTTACTTCCCCCTTAACAGAAAACCCCAGTCGCTGGTCTTTCGTATTTTTGTTATGGGTTTCCCCCCACCCTTCAATGGCCAAGCTTAAAGATTACTCCATTTCTATTTCCTGCGAAAACAGCTTCCATATTCAGCCCCTGCCATAGTTAGGAAATCTAGGTTGAGTGCCTCAGTTTGCTCTCAAGTCTTCTTAACCCTGTCTGAACTTCTTTTCCTGCTGATTTTAGCAATTGTGGGACAGTCCAGCCGAGGAAGAAATCTGATGGTCCTTGGCAGGTATTGAGAAAGAATAAATGTGGATGTACATTTTAGATTGGTGAAGGGATGGACGGATACTGGTGGTGAAGATCATGCACTGTACATCTACCGATCACTCTGCAACAATATTCACTAGCTAGACAGGTTTGGAAGTCTAAAGCTTATAATCTTCTTTCCCATAACTAATCCCAGGAAAGTAAACAGGTTAGTTTCTCCAGTCATGTCGCAAGCCACTTCAAGAAGTCAGCCTTGCTCAAGGGGTTTAAGGAGTGAGAAAGGTCCCTCACTCAAGTGGAAATATCCAATCTTCCCAAGAATCACTGTCACTGCTGTCCTGTTGAGTGCCCTTGAGAAACATGCCTAGCCAGCCTCCCAAACATATGTGACTTCCATCTGCCTGATTGCTTGTCTCGTTAGTATCCCAAGTGTTTAGGATTACAGGTGTAATCTTACCATGCCAAATTATGCAGAAGCTTGCCTAAAGGACCCAATCTCAGTTTTCTGTTAAATTCGGTCCTAGGCTGGGAATAATTCTTGTCATAAAGATATTTAGAATTATGACACCAGATAATGCTTGTCAAAGCTTAAATTGATTTTACAGATAAGGAGCAGTTGCAGAAAGCTAAGCGGGGACTTACACGATAGGATAAATTGGATTGGAGGGAAGTATTGCTAAAGAGAGGCAAGTAAAAGGAAATATTAACAATATTAGGGCATTGGATGCAGGAAACAAATTATAGAGCAGTTGGGTTTTCCATCCAGTATTTCATCAAATTTTTGTTTCATTTCACAGTATTTGTATTTGTATTGAGATACTGCAAAGATCAAAACTGGCAAAAGTGAACTCTTTGGGAGAAGTGAGACAAACACACACAATAAACACAACACAGCAAGATAATTTCAAATAGACTAGAATTCTAAGTGTTATGATATAAAAACCAAGAGCTATGGTAGTTACTAGTTACTAGTTTAGAGAAAGGAATCTAAGAAATAACAGCTCCAAGCCAAACCAATTATTTGTCGATTGAAAATATTGATAAAAAGGAGTTGTGCTGAAGAAACAAACACGTGTTCTGGCCTATCAGTGATCAAATGTAAATTCGGGTAAGTGGGGGCTAAATAGGTACCTAAACATTTGGGACATTATTATATGTCCAAAGAATATACCTAAATAGTTTTTCACTCCACATTATTGGGATTTTGAGTATTTTTTAAACAGCTATATGTAGAATTAAATGTAGGATAAAAGCCAGGCACTGGTAGCTCACACTTTTAATCCTAACTACTCAGGAGGCTGAGTTCTGAGAACCATGATTTGAAGCCATCCATGGAAAGGAAAGTCCAGGAGAATTTGATCTCCAATTAAGCACCAAAAAAGCCAGAAGTCGATTTCTGGCCCAACTGATAGGAGCACTAGCCTTGAGCGAAAAAGCTGGGGACAGCACCCAGAACCTGAGTTCAAGCCCCAGGACTGGCACACACAAAAGAAAAAAATAAAATTGGCTGGCAACGTGGCTTAGTGGCAGAGTGCTTGGACGAAGTCCTGGGTTCAATTCCTCAGTCCCACATAAAACAGAAAAAGCCAGAAGTGGTGCTGTGACTCAAGTAGTAGAGTGCTAGCCATGAACAAAGAAACTCAGAAACCCAGGCCCTGAGTTCAAGCCCCACGACTAGCCCACCCCGCCCCCCCCCCCAAAAAAAAGAGGCATCTAGGAGTCTAAGGCAGTAAAATCTTGAGTTTAAATCCAACATGGACTACACAGCATGAAACTATCTCAAAACAAAAAATTCAAGGTCAATTGTCAGATGTCAGTGAAAATCAACCAAAATTATTTAGTGGTATGGACGAAAAAACTAGGCGGTGAAATTTATTGTTCCTTTTTATTGAAAGGGAAAAGAAATGCAGGTCTAGAGACAAGATTCAGAAGCTGGCAACAGCAGAAGCCTCTTGCCAAATCATCCTTGACTGAGGGAAGAACGGTTGAGAAAAGTGGGGGTAGGGGGAGGCCTGAAATAAAAGTTGTACCGTAAGTGAATAAAACATGGCAACCCAGGAGCCTTAATTACACATATTAATGGTTCCAATAATCCCTTTGGTCTCTTTAAGTGCATGAATAGCCTAAATATGCTTCCTCAACAAATGTTTAATAGCATCCACTTTCAAAAGTGTAGCCACATATAACTTGAAGCATACCATCTGACAAACCAATACACTCCTCCCAAACTGTCATACAATGCAGTCCACTAATGAGGTAACATAAGCTTGCAAGCTACTCAAGTTAAACTGTGTAGTTTGCATGGCATAGGACTTGTGAAGCTTAATCCTCTGTAAGAGCAGTACCGGTTGTGTAAGTTTACCTTGAGGCTCTTACAAGCTCCTGACAAGTCTTTATACTGGTGGCCCTGGAAGAACCTCCCCTGCCTGCAGTTCACACAGAAAAGCCAACGCTAGAACACAAAAGCCATAGGCAAATCTGCTATGTTAAAATACCAAATAGATCGGAAGATGGCTCTACTAGCCATTAACAAACTTTGACAGCTCTTTTAAAGTGAAAAGATGGGCGGCCCTGAAAAGGGCCTTGATTTGTTGTAGACAATCTCAAGCTGAAGCTCTAGCCGCCAAAGCCATACAGAGTGCGGCCCTGCCGCTTGAGGGCATAAACCACGTCCATGGCTGTGACGGTCTTGCGCTTGGCGTGCTCCGTGTAGGTAACGGCATCGCGGATGACGTTCTCTAGAAACACCTTGAGAACACCTCGGGTCTCTTCATAAATAAGACCAGAAATACGCTTGACTCCGCCACGGCGAGCCAAGCGACGAATGGCAGGCTTAGTAATGCCCTGGATGTTGTCTCGAAGAACCTTCCTGTGCCGCTTAGCACCGCCCTTGCCTAAGCCTTTTCCACCTTTACCGCGTCCAGACATTTTGAAACTGAGCTGCAAAGAAGAAAAGCGAAGTACCATTCGGGTAGTCTTCCCAGAGCTTTTATACTAACATGACGGACCTGTTTGAGAACTACAAGGTTAGGGGTGGAAACCCTAGTCAAGTTCCCGCCCAAAGTCCCGCCCACAGTCAGTTCCCTTCTGAACTTTTAACTCCTGCTAATACACTGTCAAGCAAGAGACAATGTCTAGCCTGCAATTATATCTTAATATGTGTTCCTGTTTTAATGTGAGTTCAGAATGTTTGTATAGTTCCTGCACTATCAACAAATCAGACACTGGTCCCTCCGATAATCCAAAACATGCTCTTACTTCTGGTTTAAATGCAGCAGTAATAATGCATACCATTACTGTTTAAAATCCAAGGTCTAACTTATTTATGTCTGTTCACCCGATCATGCTTGTGCCCCAGAGGCTCAATGAGGGACATAAAAGCCTATGAAATTTATAGAATTAAAAAAATGAAGTGACAGGCTGGCAATGTGGCTTAGTAGTAGAGTGCTGGCCCAGCATACTTGAAGTCTTGGGTTCTATTCCTCATTACCACATAAACCAGAAAAGCCGGAAGTAGTGGTGTGGTTCAAGTGGTAGAGTGCTAGCCTTGAGCAAAATGAACCTCAGAACAGTGCCCAGGGCCTGAGTTCAAGCCATAGGACTGGCACCAAAACAAAAGAAAAAGAAAAATCAAGTGAAAAGAAACACTTAAGATTGAAAACTTTGTATCATTACATTACAAATCTATGAAGATCTAAATCAGTGCATTGAAAGTTTTTGAATTGGCTATACCGGTAATAAAGTTTACTATTGTATCTTTTACCACATGCTAGTTCCCAGACCACTAGTGATATACTCTACTACATACCACGTTCTGTACATATAATCTTGGTCTTGGGCAAGTGATATTGGGTTTTTTGTAAATATTAAAATCTAATTCTAGAACATATATATATATATATATATATATATATATATATAAAGACAATTGATTCAAAGCACTTGAAATATTTAAATTGCGTATGTGCAACCATTGCACATGATAGTGACATATAGAACTGGTTGCCTTGAGCTTCTTCCCTCAAGATTCATCTCTCTAAACCAGATATGGCAACTCAACAAACCTGTAATTTCAGCACTCAAGAAATTGAGGCAATGGGCTGGGAAGGTGGCTCAGTGGTAGAATGCTTGCCTTGCATGCATGAGGCCCTGGGTTCGATTCCTCAGCACCACATAAGCAAAAAGAAAAAAGCCGGAAGTGGCGCTGTGGCTCAAGTGGTAGAGCACTAGCCTTGAGCTGAAGAGCTGAGGGACAGCACCCAGGCCCACAGTTCAGGCCCCACAACCGGACCCAAAACAAAGAGAAATTGAGGCAAGAGGGTCAAATGATTGAGGATACCCTGGACTACATAGCAAGTTCCAAGTTAAACTTGGCTTCATAGAAAAACCTGAGGAATTCACCACTGTAAAGTGATGTGCCTAAATGTGCCCTAATTTAATGATTTTTGGTTTTCAGAATTCATTGAAATAATAACTTAAATGTTTTGACTGGATAACACACCACACACATGTCGGAAGAAAGAATTTAAATGACAGAGTGACAGTCTGCCTCCTTTGGGAATGGAGAACAGTGGTGGCCATTAAGCTAGGGAGGGTAATTATAGAGAGGACCAGAAAGAATGAAGGAGAGCTAGAAACTGTTGTAGATGGGTTTAGTGATTGTGGCCAGACCAGAAGGCCAAACCAGTTACAGGAAGCCAGGCAGAATTTGAGCAGCCAGAATGTCAGCCAGAACAGATGACTTCACCAAAGCCAACAGTAAATACTTACACTTAAGTCATTGAAATGTTTGAGGAATTCAGGTGCTTTCAGGATTGTGCCTTTCCCCATCTATCCAAGATTTGAAAAGCAACGCAATTTATCACATATCTTTCATGAGTTTACTGTACATGGAAAGAGTGGGATTCTTTACAAAGACAGTGAACATGGGATCTGGGAATGGAGAGAAGTAATATTATGGACTTTTTTTTTTAACCAACTTATAAATAAATCATAGTATTCATTCCATTTATGAATTTAGACTAAGCAGTGTGATTGGCAGGACGTGATATTACTAGCATCACACTGTAGTTGTCAACATCTCAAATATTACCTATACATATCACCGCTATACTATATTACATATTAGTCATCAAGTGGATGTAGTTATTTAATATATCAATAAAAAATAATATAAGGATACCACGAAGTTGAGATTTTTTTTTCTTTTTTTTTTCTTTCTTTTTTTTTGTGTCTGTCCTGGGGCTTGAACTCGGCCTGGGCACTGTGCCTCAGCTCTTCAGCTCAAAGTTAGTACTGTACTACTTGAACCACAGTGCCATTTCTGGTTTTCCGGTGGTTTATTGGAGATAAGAGTTTCACAGAAACTTTCCTACCAGGACTGGTATTGAATTATGATCCTCAAATCTCAACCTTCTGAGTAGCTAGGATTACAGGCATGAGCCACTGGCACCCCGCCAAGTTGAGATTTTTTTGAAGTCCTGATCATATTGACAGAGAATCTTGTTCTAATTGGATAAGATTGACTGTCCCTTATCATGTACAGCAAAGATACTGATGGTGATGTTCACTCAAGAGCCAGAGCATTTAGGTCACATAGGAACTTACATGAACCTCCTGTTTAGAACACATAGCATTTTATATGACCCACCAGCTAAAATTGTTTTCAACCTCTCTCACTTCATGCCATTGTCATCCATTTTCAAGTGTTGTTTTTGTTTGTAATCAGAAATTTATTTACCATATCATGGGATGACAGAAGTTGCTGAGTAAAAAAGTTTAAATTTTGATGCTAGAAATTAACTGGCACCGGTGGCTCATGACTGTAAACCTAGAACCTCCAGCATTATAGCCTTGAGCTGAGGGACCACAGCCAGGCCGAGTTCAAGCCCCATCACCAACCAAAGGATAAGAAAACATTCATTGTTTTGTAACCGTACACTTGATATTACTGTCCAAATAATTTCGCAACCCAAATATGACTAAACAGCAGATCCTTAAACTTAATTTTATTAAATATTAAGAACTTAAGTTGTAGGGGCATCAAAACCACTAACAGAAACTTCAAATCTGAAGTTTATATTGTAGGCACATACACCACCAAAATACGTTCACATGTGGCAAGTTCAAAACTCTTAAGTGACATTTAATAAACAAAAAGAAAAAAAAACACTGAAAAATAGTTTTTTCCAAGTCAATGCAATATTAAGACCAATTGGCAGATGAAATTGTAAGTACTGGTTTGTAGTCAAATGATGCCCAGATTAATATAAGTACCGTAAAAAAAGAACAAATCTTATAACCAATGAGTTATCACAACTTTATGGCATTCTGTGATCTTTGCCTCCGTTGACATTTAGAGATGCTAAACCGACTAGCCATTTGGCTAGTTTGAGAGCTGAGGATTAGTATGCCTCAGGTTCAGAATACACTTCTAAAACTCTAGAGCAAATGGAAGCTCTATTAGGGAATGAGTGGATGGATGCTCTTAAAAGAGCCTTTGGTTAGATGACATCTGATACACTTCACTTGCCCTTGGCCTTGTGGTGACTCTCCGTTTTCTTGGGGAGCAAAACAGCCTGTATGTTTGGCAACACGCCACCCTGTGCGATGGTGACTTTGCCCAACAGCTTATTGAGTTCCTCGTCATTACGGATAGCCAGTTGCAGATGGCGCGGGATGATGCGGGTCTTCTTGTTATCGCGGGCCGCGTTACCAGCAAGCTCAAGAATCTCAGCCATAAAGTATTCCAGTACAGCTGCCAGGTACGCCGGAGCACCGGCTCCAACCCACTCTGAGTAGTTAGTTACCTTTGCGGAGCAGGCGGTGCACGGCCCACGGGGAACTGGAGACCAGCTCTATATGAGCGAGTATTAGCTTTAGCGCGGGCTTTCCCTCCCTGCTTTCCACGTCCGGACATTTTGAAATTTTAATAAAAAAGCCTCAAAGAAAGGACAAAAATACTACCAAAATGAAAGTGCAGCAAATATACTTGCTCACCATATTGTAAATTACAACTATTCATTGGCTAAGAGCAAGAGTGTGATGTGAACCAATCACATTGAAGAACACATGAACCTTATTTGCATATAACAAACTGGCAATGTGACTTTACCCAGTCTATTTATATTAAATTTGGACTATATAAAATCTAACAGGTTAAAAAAAATGTAACAGGTTTAGACATACTTGCATACACGCCCTGTAAAAATTGGACACGCATTTCTAGAACTATTTTTTTGAGACCTTAAAGGCAGTTCTCATTATCCCTGAGCCAACGAAGGCCGCTTCCGCACCCAAGAAGGGGTCGAAAAAGGCGGTGACCAAGGCGCAGAAGAAAGACGGCAATAAGCGCAAGCGCAGCTGGTTTTTCATCCCCAAAACCAAAAGGCTCTTCAGTGCTGTTCACATATTCCTAATGTGCCGTAAACAACTTGGAAACATGCGCTGTTGGTCTCACCAAAACCTGCACCCAAAACACCACCTCCAGTAAGACTTAGCTCGCAACACGGCACAAACGCGCAGCCCAGATAGTGAAAACAGTGAGTGGCTCTGAAAAGAGCCTTTGGTTTACCGGTGTAGCTGCAAAACTACATTTACTTGGAGCTGGTGTACTTGGTGACGGCCTTGGTGCCCTCGGACACGGCGTGCTTGGCCAGCTCCCCGGGCAGCAGCAGGCGCACGGCCGTCTGGATCTCCCGAGACGTGATGGTCGAGCGCTTGTTGTAGTGCGCCAGGCGCGACGCCTCGCCCGCGATGCGCTCGAAGATGTCGTTCACGAACGAGTTCATGATGCCCATGGCCTTGGACGAAATGCCGGTGTCCGGGTGGACCTGCTTCAGCACCTTGTACACGTACACCGAGTAGCTCTCCTTGCGGCTGCGCTTGCGCTTCTTGCCGTCCTTCTTCTGCGCCTTGGTCACCGCCTTCTTCGACCCCTTCTTGGGCGCGGGAGCGGACTTCGCTGGCTCAGGCATGACAAAGACGCAGTGTAAGTGCTGTGAGAAAGAAAAGATAGAGCCATGTGAAGACTGTCCATTATTTATAATGGTTGTATGCAAATCGTGATCCAAGAAAAGCCATTTCTGATTTGAAAGGGATGTAGTGATGTCAATATGTAAATTTGATACCAACAGCTCAACTTCGTATTGGCTCATGACAGTAACCAATCTGATCTCACTTTTCACAAGTCTCTCTAGGACTATAAGTAGCTTCTTATTGGTAATGCAAACCACTCCTGTTCTGCTTAAAACTCAGCTCTGTTTCGGTTTTTTCGCACGTACTTTTCTGCAATGTCTGGACGTGGCAAGCAAGGAGGAAAAGCTAGAGCTAAGGCTAAAACACGGTCCTCTCGGGCCGGCCTTCAGTTCCCAGTAGGACGAGTCCATCGCCTTCTTCGCAAGGGAAACTACTCAGAACGTGTAGGAGCCGGTGCTCCTGTATACCTCGCAGCCGTGCTGGAGTACCTCACCGCCGAGATCCTGGAACTCGCAGGCAACGCTGCGCGTGACAACAAGAAGACCCGTATTATACCACGCCACTTGCAGCTAGCTATCCGCAACGATGAGGAACTAAACAAGCTTCTTGGTCGTGTGACAATCGCGCAGGGCGGTGTCCTTCCCAATATTCAGGCTGTTCTGCTGCCAAAGAAGACCGAGAGTCATCACAAAGCTAAGGGCAAGTAAAGCTGCTAACCAGCCCTGGGCCACTGGCTAAACAACAAAGGCTCTTTTCAGAGCCACCTATTTATTCATTGAAGAGCTAGAACGCTTCCTTATATTAAAAACACGTTCAGTAAAGAAACAGATCTCAGAACCTTGCTTCGAAAGCAGGCTGGGAAAAACTTCCAACCTACAAAATTTTTAATCATAAAGGCAGCTACCATACCACATAGTACCGGTCGGTTGCAACATCATTTCTCCTGAAAGCAAGCCGACTGCCAAAAACTTGAAGCACAAGGTATAAAAAGCTCAGTATATTCTATCCATTACTATATTGTAGTCTTATAAAATGAAAGCAGAACAAAGACGCTTGTAGCTATTCGACCAGATGGTTACTAGGATGTCCTACTAGAGTACTGGCTATGAGTTTGAAGAAGCACCACTATTATCCACCCAACCCATTCTGTCACAACCACGATTCAATAGAGCCGCATAACAACTTTAGTATGTCTAGGAGTGGAAGGATCTAATAATGATTGGAAGCAAAAATTCACTGGACAAGCCTCAGAAGCCTGATTCATAAGGGCAACAGTTATGACGGTAAAATATGAAATTGTAAACCAAGTCTTACATGATGCATATTTTCCCATATATAATTCCTCACCGAAGGAATCATTTAGTCAGGCAAACATTGTTCAAGTTGGGACATCAAGAATATACGTAGTGCATGAGTTTGAAACATAGTGGAACAACGTTAGAGAATTGTAACAACTCAAAATTTGTCAAAACGTCAATATATTACTAAGCACATGTGGCCCTCCTACAGTTCAATAGAAGCATATTCCAGTTAGAAGCATATTCCTTTGAGACTATGATCTTACAAAGTAATCTCTTTCTCTTTATTAGATTTGGTGTCTTCAAAGAATACACTAAGAAAGTGAATTACTTTGCTGCTGACCTTTTCCACTTTCTTGTCATGTACATGGCAGTGACAAAGCCATTAAGAAACTATTACTTGGGGCTGGGAAGGTTGCACAATGGTAGAGCTCTTGCCTTGCATGCATGAGGCCCTGGGTTTGATTCCTCAGCACCACATAAGCAAAAAGAAAAAAGCTGGAAGTGGCTCTGTGGCTCAAGTGGTAGAGCGCTAGCCTTGACCTGAAGAGCTGAGGGACACAGCACCCAGGCCCAGAGTTCAGGCCCCCACGACTGGACCCAAAAAAAAACACAACTCTTTAGGAACTAGTTTATCCTCAATCATAAAAAATATATTTCTCGGGCTGGGAAGGTGGCTCAGTGGTAGAGCACTTGCCTTGCATGCCTAAGGCCCTGGGTTTGATTCCTCAGCACACATAAGCAAAAAGAAAAAAGCCGGAAGTGGCACTGTGGCTCAAGTGGTAGAGTGCTAGCCTTGAGCTGAAGAGCTGAGGGACAGCGCCCAGGCCCACAGTTCAGGCAGGCCCCACGACCGACTGGACCCAAAAATATATATATATATTTCTCTTTGATCTGTAATATATAGATACATAAATAGATTTAGATATACTGGTTATTTTTTGAGTACTAGGGTGGTTTTTTGTTCATTGTAGGGCTTAAACTCTGGGCCTGGGCACTCTCCCTGAGTTCTTCAGCTCACAGCTAGTGCTCTACCACCAGGGGTACAGTGCCACTTTTAGTTTTCTGGTGGTTAATTGGAGATAAGAGTCATGACTTTTCTTCCTGGGCTCCGATCCTCAAATTTTAGCCTCCTAGGTAGCTAGGATTACAAGTGTAGCCACCAGCGCCCAGCATAAATGTATTTTAAATTGTGTTTTCTATGCTTTTGGTTTTACGGCCACCGTGTTTAATCAGAGAAGGAACAAAATGGAAATAGGAACTAAGGCCAATTAAAACAAGTAAGCTTCCAGTATAATTTTTATTCTTATTCTAAAAGGTGATGTACAAAGGGCTTATAGTGACATAATTCAGGTAATGGGTACATTTGTGATAAATTCCTTTAGCCAAATTAACAAATAATTGTTTCCATGTTTTCAATTTGATTGAACAATCAAAAAGTAATAAATATCTGGAGGAATATTTGTTCCACTAAATGGAAGTGATTTAGATTACTATCACATGAAAGCCTAGAGTTTCATAAATCAACTGTAATGAACAGTACATAGTGAGATGAGGAAAGTACATTTTACCACAAACCTTTCTGAGGCCTGTAATCTTTTTTACAAAAGATATTAGCCATTCCTGTTTTTCTTACTTTCCAGTCTAAAACTTATTGTACTGGGATTCCTTAATGCAAAAAATATTAAATAATATAGGCAAGATAAATTATCCCACTGTCACATTTTCCTCAATATAGTGATTGAGCAAATACTAGGCAATTTAACTTTTATAGACACTAAATGATAAAGTAGTTTGAGAAATACAATAATTAAGTTACAAATAAGAATTTTTTTGTCTTTCTTGAATTTTGAGTCTTCCAGATACATGCATTTCAAATTTACATTCACTTCATTATTTTTATACTTCCACAACTTTTTTACAGTCCTGCCTCAGGTCCTATGGGTTGTCCCTAAGCTTTTGTGCTAAAGGTTGCAGTCTATCACTGGGACTACAACACCAAATGGATGTTTTTTTTTCTTTTTTGGGTTTTGTTTTTGTTTTTGTTTTTTTTTGGTAAGGATTCTCAATTGGAGTTAAGTCTCATGGGCTTTCTCGTCTAGTCTGGCTTTGAACAGTGACCCTCAGATCTGAATCTGTTCAGTAGCTAGGATTACAGGCATAAACCACTGGAACCCAGTTTCATATTGTTTTTAACAGAAGAGAAATATATTGTACATACATCTAAGGCTTAAATTTTGGGACAATAATTAATTTAAATTTTTTCTTGGAAAGTGACAGAAGACACAAAATACCAAAATACATAGGGCCTGTGTGACAAGAAAAAAACATATTTTGCATGCTCTATCCCAGGAAAATAGATATTTAGCAAAAGGTTAGCATGGATTTTCAAACAGTACCTGCCTACTGACATGCTACCTCTGAATTCAAATTTTAGTAATGAAGGGTCCCACACATCCATCCCAGGGGACCATGCAGAGGCAGGCACAGGACAAAGATTATTATAAGGTTTATTAGAGGAGCCATATTTCCCCAAAGAGGGTGCACATGGCCTCCATCACCATCCAAGTAGCAGGAGGGGTCTGACGGCCATAAGTGAGGCAGAGGGGAGCATGGGTGCAGCTAGGTGGAGAGAGGGAGGGTCCAGCTGTAAAGTGAGAACTCCAGAGGTAGGAGGGGCTCACATCTGGGTAGAGCTGAGAACCAAAGGTAAGACTAATACTATTTTCTATATTTTCTTCCTTCATACATTTAAAAAGCCTCCCTTCGTTTCTATAAATGCTTTTTAATAATTCTTCATTCTCACTTCAATCCAAAGTTTCTTTGAAATATATTTAATTCAAACACCCATGCTACCAAGAAAAAGATATAATCCTTGTACAATGGTGAACATAAAATATATTCACTCCCTAGATCATTATACGAATGCCACTGACCATTATACTTGAGTACCTTTTTTTTTTATCAGAAAGAAAGGGCAATTGAAATTCAAGTATGCTTCTAAAATGGATAGCAATATTTCAGGTTTTCAAACATTCTCTATGCAAGACAGATGATGGCATGGTTGCAAGAGCTTCAAGACTAGGATTGAAAAGAATGTTTTAACTGCTCTAAAAAGAAATTGATCAGTCGGGAAATGAGAAGAAACATACAAATACCTCTCAGGCATTCTTGGAAGAGCATCAAGGGCATTGTTGTGGGAGAGTAAGTTCATTGACCCCGCCTCTCACACTTTCCCGCCAGTATTTCCTGCTTTCAATAAGGTCCGCAGTGTGGTTTTAAGTATTCGTTTCCTTTAGAAGTTGCCATTCAGCTCTTCCTGTCCAATACAATAATGTCTGGCCGTGGCAAAGGTGGTAAGGGGCTAGGAAAAGGCGGTGCTAAGCGCCATCGCAAGGTCCTCCGTGACAATATCCAGGGAATCACCAAGCCCGCCATCCGTCGCCTGGCACGCCGTGGTGGAGTCAAGCGCATCTCCGGCCTGATCTATGAGGAGACCCGCGGGGTGCTGAAGGTGTTCTTGGAGAACGTGATCCGGGACGCTGTCACCTACACCGAGCACGCCAAGCGCAAAACTGTTACAGCCATGGATGTGGTCTACGCGCTTAAGCGTCAAGGACGCACCCTCTACGGCTTTGGAGGTTAAGTTACCAAGTTATACTTACATCAAAGGCCCTTTTCAGGGCCATCTATCCTTTCACACAAAAGCGCTGGATACCTTGGCCTTAAGAATTTTGACTGCAGTCAGGCTAAACCTTTCATGTGCTTTCTGGTCTTGAGCTCTTCAGCTCAAGGCTAGTGCCCTACCACTTGATCCACAGCACTACTTCTGGCTTCTGTGTTACAGAGAAATCGAACCCAGGACCTCATGCATACAAGGCAAGCGCTCTACCACTGAGCCACCTTCCTAGCCCGGACTTTACTGTTGCTAACACATCGACACGTTTTAAACATCGCGCTAAGCTTGTATACTTTATGATAATGAAGCATAAGGTTTGAATACTGAAACTCAGATCGTCAAGTGGTCTCAATTTCATTGACCGGAAATATGCAAATAAGGGTGTGTGAGTCGAATCACTGATTGGTTGAAAAAGCCAGTGAAATAACCCAACTGTTTATTAAATAGTTAAAATGATCAAGACAATAGATGGAAATTTTCAGTAATTTGCTCACTAAGAACTATTCCATGCAATGTTCTTTGTATATTTCTGAAGTTATCGTAAATGATCAGGTTTGATCGACAAAACCAAAGGAAAGAATTGACGTGGGATAGAGAAGTGTGGGAAGTAGCCTTAATGATGTGTCAAAAATTGCCTCTCTTCCATACATTCAATGCTACTGATATAAGCAAATCTGTAGAGAATTTTCAAGGTTTCGTGGCACTCATTAAACTTGCCAGTCATAAAGAGCAGAGATGACGAGTTAACCGTTTCAAAGAAACCAAACCGCCTTTAAACAAGAGCTTAGGAAAGACTGAGGTAGATTTCTTCACTCTAAATGTAATGAATGTAATGAATTTAAGGCTTATGAAGATATATTTAAAAGGTTTTTGTGGGGATGCAGCCCAAACTCCGGAAAGCTAGACATATGCTCTACTATTGATTCAAACACCCAATACTGAATTCTTTTTCATAAAGAGGGATAAAGATTCTATTTTGTGCAAATAGCGTTCAAGACAATATATAAAGTATTTAAATGTAGCGGATGTGAAGGATTTTTAAGGAAAAAAATTAAGGGGATTGTCTAGCAACCGCCTTTGACCAATGAGAAACTGCATGTAAAAGAAAATCCAATAGTAGAACGCTGAACCACTTCCTATATTCACCAACGGAAGAGTTAAAAAAAAATGCCCAGAATGCAACCTGAGTGATTTGGTTCCGGTATAAAAACACAGCTCTTAGGGCCTGTTCTCTTCTTGATTTTTGTCCTCATCTGGAGCCATGGCTCGTACCAAGCAGACCGCTCGCAAGTCCACCGGTGGCAAGGCTCCCCGCAAGCAGCTGGCCACCAAGGCCGCTCGCAAGAGCGCTCCGGCCACCGGCGGCGTGAAGAAGCCTCACCGCTACCGGCCCGGCACCGTGGCCCTGCGCGAGATCCGGCGCTACCAGAAGTCAACGGAGCTGCTGATCCGCAAACTGCCGTTCCAGCGGCTGGTGCGCGAGATCGCGCAGGACTTCAAAACCGACCTGCGCTTCCAGAGTTCGGCTGTGATGGCGCTGCAGGAGGCGAGCGAAGCCTACCTGGTGGGTCTCTTTGAGGACACCAACTTGTGCGCGATCCACGCCAAGCGGGTGACTATTATGCCTAAGGACATCCAACTTGCACGCCGTATCCGTGGGGAGAGGGCTTAAATAGCTTTCTCGTGGGTATCAAAGCTAAAAACGCAAAGGCTCTTTTAAGAGCCAACACTTGATCTGTAGAAAGTGCTGTAGATGCTCGTGAATGGTGTGATTGGTCAGAATGTCAGCCTGCTCTCTATCACTGACCTACTTGATCCTAGGGTAATCCAGGTCAAATCAATTGAACCTTGAATTTAGAATGTTCGTTGCTGGAATTACTCGTCCAAAGGTCCAAGTTTTTCAAGTGTAAATCACCGTTGTGATCAGCAGGTTTTGGGTCTAACACATGGGCAGCTGCCAGTCCATTTGAGTACTTTAAGAAATTGAACATCCTTTGTGTTTTTTAGTGTGTAAATGCTTAGGTTATAAATGAGATTGAAGTCCCTGCCTGTGGCTTCATGATTTATTGGGATAACAAGATTTTGTCACGGATTTCACTCCAGGGGCATTAAATATTAACTTTATATCCCATTGTGAAGGAATCAGCAGTGAAAACTTACTTGCAGGCCATGCATTGGTGACTCAGGCCTGCAATCCTATGTACTCAGAAGGCTGAGATCTGAGAACAACACCTCGAAGAGAACCCTGCAAGAAAGTCCATGAAACATCTCCAATTAACTACCAAAAAAGGCAGACATGTAATTGTGCCTCAATTGGCCAGGGCACTGGTTAGCATTTAGTAAAGCTCAGGGACAGCAGCACCCAGGCTCTGAATTCAATCCTCAGGACAGGTTCCTAAACGGAAAAAAATCAAACGAATATCCTTGAGAAACTACTTTTCTCATTGTAATCTGCTAAGGCAATTGTGGGAAGTTATAAGGCCATATTTGATGGTACAGGAAAGAGCAAGGAAGGGTTAGTGATGACATACTAGAAGAGGAGGGGAGAAGGGGACAAAGGGGACGTAAGACATTTTGTATATACAGCAGTTGTATCTATACTATAAAACTTCCCATCTAAGAACTCTTAGCTTATAGCAAAAGGGCATTCCTGAGGGTCTTATTTTCTGTAAAAAGTGGCTATTAAAGTAAGATTTCTTGTACTAATACAATTTTTCATACTGTATATGCTAAAAGGAATGGTTGGACTTTAAATGTATACAGTCCTCTAAGATTGGGAGGTTTTATTGTACTGTAGTAAAACTACATATATGTGAACAAATAGAGAAGCATTTAACATCGAAAATTTTTCTTTCTGTGCAGCAGTATAGGTTTATGACACAAGTGAAAACACCACATTCAAGATCTTCCCCCACCTACTCACCCCACCCCACTCCCAAAGGTGGGAGTTGAGGGGGGGATTGCACAAAGTAATGATCAATACCAGACTTTTTTTAATGAGTTGAAACTTTTTTCTGGAAGATCACAAATACATATAATTCTCTGATATACTCATGTTGGCACGTTGTGTTGTATATACATTTCTGGATTATGTGACTGCCTTTCAGCATTGTTGGGACTTAAAAAACTAGACTTTGAAGTGAAAGCCTCAGAAACTGGTTTTCTAAGCTACTGTCCTGTCATGGCTCCCTTTTCTCCCCAGGTAAGACAGAAAACTCTAAGTCCTCTCCCTCTACTGATAATAGAGAACAAAGCCACTTTTCCCCAAAGCAATTTAATGTTCTCATATTCCCTGGCTTTACTGACTTGAAACTGTCAGCAACAAAATTCTCTGACCTAATTCCCTTGATAGTAAATCCATTTAAGAAAGAGTATAACCACGAGGGGTGGAAAAGGGAAGGGATGGGTAGGGGAAACAGAGGAGGAGACAACAATGCTTGATAAGAAATGTACTCACTATCTTGCCCTTGTAATTGTAACCCTTCTGTATGGTATTTTCACAATAAAAACAAAAAGATAATTTTAAAAAAGAGTATAACCAAGGGTCAAAAGGAATGAATACCACATAGAGAGGCCAAGAAGAATCTGGACACTATATTCATTTAGTACCATCATTTCTACAGGGCTATCTATTCTTCCCAGAACAGGAACATAAAAAAAGCAGTTTACCTAATGGGTCAAACCTGCAATCCTAGCTGCTTAGAAGGCCGAAATCTTAGGTTCATTCTTCACTGCTAGCATACTCCAAAAGACGTGAGACTCTCATATCCAATTAACAAGCAAAAAGCAGAGGAGCTATTGCTCAAGTGGTAGGATACTAGTCTTGAGCCAAAAGGTTCAATGACAGTGTCTAGGCCCAGAGCTCAAGTGACAGGACCAGAATAAAAACTAAGAAACAGACACACACACAAAAAAAAAAGATGTAAAATATAGTTTTATTTAGGTTTCTGACCTTTACAAATGTCTTCCAAAACAATGATCAGTGAAAATTTTCATTGTCTTTATTAACCTGTCTTTTGTTATATGGATGTCAGCAAAGAACATGACCATTTATAATGGGTAAGGAAAGAGATCATGTAATTTAAAACAATAAATAAACCAACAGGGTTATCTAACGGAAATGATAGCTAAAAGAAACATTTTTCCCCAAATCTTCTCCTGTCCACCTAACCATGACAACTATTAACATTGCAAATATGAAGATATTTTTATTTGCAAAGGTGTACTTATTATACATTCTTGTTTCAATTTTATACTTTTGCCCAAACTTTAGGATGGCAATTTTTTTTGGGAGTGGGGGTGGTTCTGGTCCTGGGGCCTGAACTCTGGGCATGGTGCTATCCCTCAGCTCTTCAGCTCAAGGCTAGTGCTCTAACACTTGAGCCACAGGGCCACTTCCAACTTTTTTCTTTTTGCTTATGTGGTGCTGAGGAATTGAACCCAGGGCCTCATGCATGCAAGGCAAACGATCTACGACTGAGCCACCTTCCCAGCCCCTAGGGTGGCATATTTCAATAAGCAAGGGAATGAGCCTCAGAGAAGAAGATTGTGTAAGGAACTAAATCTTTATAACCCTGTCTTTCTCATACATAAATGCAAGTGGAAATAACTATGATCAGCTTCATTCCATGTAATAATGTAAACCAATTGATCATATCTTAAAAAATCACACAGAAACAGCATAGGAAGAAACAAGGCAAATCAACTATGGATTTATTAATTAATGAGAGGAAATACTGTCATCCAATTTTTCAGAAGATAATTATGCAAAAGACATGTAACTAGATTTTTAAATTAGATTACTGTCACCAATGTGAACAGAAGATATTATTATAAAAAAGATGCTATGTTTTCCCATAAACAAAGACAATGGTGAAACAGTGACCATTGTAAAGAATACCTTTGGTTTTTGAGAATGGCCAGAATTTAGGAACAAGAGGGTGGCAAATTAAGGAAAGAATGAAGTCATCCTTACTTTGATAGCCAAAATGGGAAGAGAAAAATGTTAGATTCAAGAGGAATCCCTTAAAATACCAACCTGAATTTTTTTAATGACTGAAGGATGTACATAATTAAGACTTTTGATCTGCCAGCTCCAGTTCAAAAGAACCAATCTATAACCAAGTATATTGGGAAGGTAGAAAGTACAAGCTGGTCCAAAACAATGTTATTGTTTCAAATATAAGCAATACAAAGCAAAGTACTCAGCCATCAATGAGTCTTAAAAGGGACAAGAAAATCTTATACCTTTTCTATTACAGGTAAGAAGCAGTATGAGGAAAGAAGGTTAATTTAGTTACTGAGAAAAAGTATTCCTTTCAGGTTATTGCATCTCCTAAAGCACAATTTCCTTAAGTATAAAATAAGCATTTTAAGTACACCTAATGCCAGTACTGTATAAAAAGGCCAAAGTTTAGCAGTAATACAACAAGTATTTACAAACATTAAAGGACTGGAGGAATTAAAAACAGTGGACCACACCAGTAATCCCATGTACTAGGGAGATAGATAAGGAAGATCACAATTGAAGTCAAACCTAGAGAAAAAGTTAATGTAAACCCTATCTCAACAAGCTGGTTCAATCTGCCATGCCAATTATTGAGGATTGTTAATAACAGCTCTTGTGTAAGCTGGCCAGGTCAAAACAACCCAAAAGTAACTAAAGCAAACTGGGCTAGGGATATGGTTCAAGTGGCATTGCTTCCCTAGAAAAGGTCAAAAGCCTTTACCCCCCCCCCCCCCCAAAAAAAAGGATTATGTTTGCTTACCTTTACTGACCTTGACACCTTATCTTCAGGGAAAGCATGGCCCAGATCTTTCCCTTTCTGCCTTCTCTGTGATAGATTCAAGCTCTTAGTTTATTTTGTTTTCTTTTTGTTTTTTCCTCATTCCTGCGGCTTGAGCTCAGGGCCTGGAGGCTGTCCCTGAGTTTCTTTTGCTCAAGGATAACACTCTACCACTTAAGCCACAGTGTCACTTCTGGCTTTTTCTGTTTATGTGGTACTGAGGAACCAAACCCAAAGCTTCTTGCATGCTAAGCAAGCTACCATTAAGCCACATTCACAACCCTAAATCTCTTGTTTTTAAGAGGATTTCTGGCAATTTCACATTTCTCTATTTATCCACATCTCCTTTTCAACAAAGCAATTCTCAAAAAGCGACCGAACCTTTCTATCTTCTCTAGAAAGGAAAATTATGAGATGTATCTCTGGCTTTGAGAAAACAGAACTGTTTTGAATGAGAAAATTTTAAATGTTTTTAGCTTTTGTTTTTTATTAGGAGCAGGGCCCTGGTGGCTCATTCTTACAATTTGAGCTACTCTGAAGGCTAAGATCTGAGGATTGCTGTTTATAGTCACCCTGGGGCAATAAAGTCCTTGAGACTCTTGAACTCCAGGTGAACACAAAAATCATGAAGTGGAAGCATGACACAAGTGGTAGAGAAATAACATTGAGCTGAAATGCAATGGGACCACATCCAGGTTGAATTCAAGCCCGATGCATGTGAGCACATACACATACACACACAAAGCTTGAAATGTAAAACTGAAAGTTATTAGCTGTTGAAAGGGATATAATAGTGTTCTAAACAAAGAAATAACATGAACAGCCATTTCAATCTTGAGGTTCAGGGCTTCAAGACCTGTTTTGTGAATTTGATGCTATCATTGTTATTGTTGGCAACATTAGAATTTGAACTCAGGCAGGGTATAGAATTATAAAAGGCAGGTGCACTACCGCTAAAGACAGACAGTAACATCAAAATACTTCCAATTTTTCAAGTACATATATTCATATGTATGTACTTCTTTGGTAGCATATTAAAGTCCAGCAGTAGGAATAAACATGTCAGTTTGAAGAACACCACTTCAAAATCCTGCAACTGATGTTAACTCACTACTGAATTGCATTTTAGATGTACTTTTTGCTCTTACATCCACAGTTCGTGTTTTCAGTACTTATCACCAAGATGAAGTACTATCCAACAAAGAGTAAATATAAATATGTGCAGCGATAAAATGCTAGACCACCCAGAATAAATCCTTGTTCCTACAGCTTTCTTTGTCCAACTTGGTTGCCACTGGCAAACCATGCAGCATTGTCAAAAGCTTGGTTTCCCTCTTGTGTACTGACCTAATAGGTAAGTGGGGACAGAAATCCCCGGCTCCCTAAAATCATGTAAATAATCTATGAAGAAATATGGAAGAGTAAATGTGAAAAACGGAGGCACAACTCGCCGACTTCGCGCCAGGCCAGCATTCCAGGGCGGCGAGTTCGAACCCCGGTGTTGCGGGTGGGAAAGAATTGCCGCCGAAGATGTCCTTTGTCTAGCACAGTACCTTGGAATTCCGGAAGGGGGCGGAGGAGGAATAAAGATTCAAGTACAATGACAAAAGGAATTGCCGAAAATTCCTTTAACTGGTCGTTAGGGGAGGGAGAATTCTGCGCCGTGAATGGCTGCCTGCACACGTAAGCAAATTTTAATATGTCAATCTGTGATTGGTTGGGCACTCCCTCTTCATAAAAAATAAAAAAGAACGTCCAAAGGTATGTCATGATTGGGTAAATCTCAACCGAGTCACTAACACACAACCCCCAGGCCAATGGGAAAGCGAATCTTACGACACCGGCCAAGCCTATAATAAAATTCCCGGATTGGCTTACCGAGAGTCGACTCTTTTAACGTTTTAGGCGCGAAAAACAAGGACGAAAACGCCCCCTTCTCCCAGCACCAGTTCTCCACGAGCGTTCATGCTCCGCCCCTCATCTAGGGATTTGGACAACCTCAGATCAAAGCCCAACAAACACTACACGCAGCGCAGCTCAAAATGGCACTTAAAAAAAAGGGGAATAGGTCCGCCCGCCAGGACCAGCATGAAAGACACCAGAGGGAAGGCAAACACATAAACCCTTTAAATTATAGAATGAGAGTTGTTGCATCTGACACCACAGAGCCCCAGTCTAAAAAGCCCAGTATAACTCGGCTTTAAATTGTCACCCAAAGCTCAGCTCTTTTGAGTTGAATGTGTGGGTGGCTCTGAAAAGAGCCGTTGAGATTTTCACAGCAGGACGTCCTACCACAATCTTATTTCTTCTTCGGGGCGGTCTTCTTGGCCTTCGTAGCCTTGGGTTTGGCAGCTTTCGGCTTCGCAGCCTTAGGCTTAGGGGCTTTCGCCTTTGCAGGACTCTTGGCAGGCTTCTTTGGCTTGGCTGCCTTCACCTTTTTCGGGCTCTTGGCAACTTTCTTGGCCCCAGCAGCCGCTGCTGGCTTCTTCGCCTTCTTAGGGGTCTTCTTGGCGCTCTTTTTCGGAGTGGCGGAGCCAGTCGCCTTCTTCGGCTTCTTGGCTGCGCCGGCAGGCTTCTTAGGCTTAGCCGCACCCGCCTTCTTGGCCTTGGGCTTGGCCTCCCCGGAAGCCGCCTTTTTGTTGAGCTTGAAGGAGCCGGAGGCGCCGGTGCCCTTGGTCTGCACCAGGGTGCCTTTGCTCACCAGGCTCTTCAGACCCAGCTTGATGCGGCTGTTGTTCTTCTCCACGTCGTAGCCCGCTGCCGCGAGCGCCTTCTTGAGCGCGGCCAGAGACACCCCGTTGCGCTCTTTGGAGGCGGCCACAGCCTTGGTTATGAGCTCGGACACCGGAGGTCCGGTAGCCTTGCGCTTTCCAGCGGCAGCGCCAGCTTTCTTCGCCTTCTTCTTCGCAGGTGTCTTCTCCGCAGGTGCGGGGGCTGCAGGAGCAACAGGAGCAGTCTCCGACATCTTTCTGCCTCGTAAGAAGAGCCAAAAGTAAGCTCAAACTGTGAGAATGGCTTGTCCCCTGCGCGGAAGGCTCTGGGTTTATATAGAGAGACGCTGAGTGATGATTGGTTCCCTGCTCCAAGCACTGCGCGGCTGGAAAAGGACTCCTCGGCTCTGCCTTGTGACTGTGTTTGTTGCCACTTAAAAAAGAATAAAAATATTAAAAATCTAGGAACGAAATAACTGGGAACTTGTGGGAAACTGATCCGAGAGGGTTTAGGCTTCATAGTTGCCTTACTTTCTACACCTAGCATCAAAACTGGCATTCTGAAACTTCCCTGATTCCCCCAACTCTCTTTCAAACTTCGGTCAGATTCAGACAACTTTCGGGTTTTCCTTAAAAATACAATTTCTCCGGGTTTCATTTGCAAATGTTTTTATCACGGCATTGTTCTGCGCATTCTTATCTTCCCAAAATCATATAAATAAACTTCATTTTACTCAAGTGATTAGGAAAATTAAGTTTTTTCGCAGGAGCAATAGCACAGACTCACCCTCGAGCTGTTTGCACCGATCTAGGAATTGGCACTGGAATAGAATGTTGTATATACAGCAAGGATGATTATTTATTAAAAGAACAATATATTTTTAAAATATTTGAGATACCAAAATGTAAATTGGGTTGATTGGCATGGTTTAGTGATTTAAACTTATTCAAGAAGATGGGGCTAAAACTGTTCCATTCTCCTTCTAAAGAGTTCTAAGCAGATTTTTCAAACCTAGAATAGATATGTGACCAAGAAACTCATCTACTAAAAAAAAGGAAAAAAGAAAACGCAACTGGCAATTAATAGAATAGCATGATATATTTTATTAGATGTGTAATAAAAATATTGAGATAGCATTCATCTTCATTTCCAATTCTCTTAATATTGTAACGACTGACACCTTGTTTTAAGGCTTTTGCTCTCTTATATGAACATATCTGTATATTTCCTATATTTCAAGATTGTAATTCAAATCTTAACGCTGCAAAACTGACCATAAAGAAAAAAAAATCTATTTCTGAAAGTTGATATCACTTATCTTACTAGGCTATAATGTGTGTACCCAATGACCTGAATGAAATTTGAAGGCAAACATGAGTGACCATTAATGATCTCATTCATCTTATGTTACAACACTGCTGATAAAATTGTGAATTGTTATATAATTAAGCAAAAAAGTAATAGTGTCTAAGCAAATACAAAAATGATGCCCTATATTTCTTACAATGAGCAAGAAATGTATTTTGTTGTTTCCCTAAGCAATTACTCATTTTTCCAAGCAACCATTCTGGCTTTATTCCAAACAATCATTTATGGCTCAATGATTACTTGAGGCTTTTTTTCACATAATTGAAGTCAGGTTGATCAACTTCTACAATATCATTTTTCCAAAAATGTACTAATTCCAGAGAAGCAACTTCACTTAAACAATTATTTATTGGGTGACAAGACTGGAAGCAGTGTTTAGGGCCTACCATGCTATATAGCATAAATATAAACAAATCTGTTTAAAGGATGTCATCTAACAGAACTGGGAGAGAAGCATCAGTAACTCCTCTGAGAAACGTAGTAGTTTGAGGAAGGGATGGTTTGTTATCATGTAAACCATTATGTGAATGAGTACCAATTGTCACAGGCATTATATAGGACCTTTTCCTTTTGGGTATACACATTCATATTGCTGAAAGCCTAGACCTAAAGATAGAATTAAAATGCAACTGTGATTATGATTGCAATAATAATTACAGTTGAATTATTGATGTTTTTGTTAACCAAGTTAAATATCTTTGATTAGCAGATATCACCATTAATTCTCTGCCAAACCTACTGGATCTCATGATCAAATTCCCAGTAAATGAGAGATATTCGAGCTAATGACTAATTCCAATATTTTTTAAAATAAGTTCTTCCCTTCCTGGAGGGCAATACCGGCTGAAGTTAGTCTTAATAAATGCCTAAGAAATATTACTGTTGTTCAGTTGGTCATTCTACAGGAATTATTCCTAAGAATTGCAAAATGAAATAGTGCATTTCAAATAATTCACAAGAAGTAAACACAGAATAAATACCAAGAAAGAGAATTGGGGGAAAAAAATAATGAATACAAAGAAAGTAAAGCTTTGTTAGAATCAAATGTGTTCAGAAGGTAAGTGAGAAATGAAGTCTATTTTAACTTCCAGTCAGGGAACCTTACGTGGAACCTTACAGGGAACCTTACTCCTTTTAAAGTACCTGATGCCCTTTTGGTGACTCCATGCAAGAGTGACTAGGAGATAAATATGTCTAAGCAAGGAGGTACTTGAGGTAACTCTTAAGCCACAGGTAAGTTCTAAATTAAGGAAATGAATACTTTGCTTTGCAAGCACTTGAGAAATAAGCACCATCAAAGAAAAGATTTTTATTTTTAATTACCTGTCTAGGAAATAGAAGGCATTTGTCATATGTTTGAACATATCACACTATGATTTTGAGTACATTACCTCCGTAATTTATTATTTGAACATTTCACAGAATGCATCCAAGCTGCTTTTGTTAATCCCATTATCTAGCAAATGCTGTTCACTGTGATACACTACATAACAGTAATGGGGTGGCAAGATCAGAAGACTCAAGGCCAAGTTTACACATACAATGTAGAAAAGACCTAGTTCTCCAAGCCTGGAATTCTTTACATTGCAGACAGTTTATAAATTGAACAAAGAAAAGTACAAGTAGGGTCCTCCTTATCAGTACCTATCTACAGAAAAGAGTGTACTGTATATACTATTGTCAAATACACAGCTTCATTATGGGCAAAATGGATATTAAGTTGTAAAGCTGAAAATCAACTATGAGAAAAAATTGCTCGGATGTTCCTCAGTTTATAGTGCTACAGCACACGCGCGCACATATATATGCACTTTTTTGTTGTTTCACAAATTGTAAAACAGTTTGGATTTGTACAGTAACAGTGGGGAGACACATGCATGTTCCAAGAGGTCGCAGAAACCTGGATTTAGAATTCACATGGTAGGAGACACCCAATAAGATGAGGGAGAGGCGGATACAAAAGTCTCCTTCCCGCCCGCGCCATTTCAGTTTTCTAAAAGGTCCGCATTGCTGATATATAAGGGACTGCAGAGGGCGCCTTAAGAAGCTGGTTTTCAACAAAGCTTACACTATGTCTGGTCGTGGTAAGGGTGGCAAAGGCCTTGGGAAAGGCGGTGCTAAACGCCACCGCAAAGTTCTTCGCGACAATATTCAGGGTATCACAAAACCCGCAATTAGGCGTCTGGCCCGCCGTGGCGGAGTCAAGCGCATCTCCGGACTGATCTACGAGGAGACTCGCGGGGTGCTGAAAGTGTTCCTGGAGAACGTGATCCGCGACGCTGTCACCTACACCGAACACGCCAAGCGCAAGACCGTCACCGCCATGGACGTGGTTTACGCGCTGAAGCGCCAGGGCCGCACCCTCTATGGCTTCGGCGGCTAAGTTTTGCTGCTGCCATTTTATCTTACCTATTCCAAAGGCCCTTGTAAGGGCCACCCATTTAATCATATGAAGGGCTCCTCACTTTTAGGGAGCATGTTTATTCCATGGAAAATACACAAGTACGTATGGGTTACAAGGACACGCAGAGGCCCCTCCAGATCTGAGCCGATTAATGTTATTATTAATTAATGTATAATATATAATTAATGTTATTATTGCATGTTCTTAATGCTCCAGCTCTCCAAGTGAAGTTGTAGTGGCTCTTAAAAGAGCCTTTGGGTCTTACAGCTGCTACTGGCGCTAGGGAACGAAAATTAAGCTCTCTCTCCGCGAATACGGCGCGCTAGTTGGATGTCCTTCGGCATGATGGTCACACGTTTGGCGTGGATGGCACACAAGTTAGTGTCCTCAAAGAGACCCACCAGGTAGGCTTCACTCGCCTCCTGCAGCGCCATCACTGCCGAACTCTGGAAACGCAGGTCTGTCTTGAAGTCTTGCGCGATCTCGCGCACCAGACGCTGGAACGGCAGTTTACGGATCAGCAGCTCTGTGGACTTCTGGTAGCGCCGGATCTCCCGCAGCGCCACGGTGCCGGGCCGGTAGCGGTGGGGCTTCTTCACGCCCCCGGTAGCCGGAGCGCTCTTGCGAGCGGCCTTGGTGGCCAGCTGCTTGCGGGGAGCCTTGCCACCGGTGGACTTGCGAGCGGTCTGCTTGGTACGAGCCATGAGGACGGTTAGAAAAAATTGGGAAACCTTTCTTTCTCATTAGTATTTATAAGGGCCAAGTCTTGCTGATTGGTCCGAATCTTCAAATTCCGCGCCATGCATAATTAGACAGGCCTGATGATTGGCTACCGGTCTCAAATTTTAAAAATAGAGATCTATTGAAATGTTTGCTATCATCATGCATTATATGTATAGCTTGCTTTTCCTTCATTCTTATTCTCTTGTAGAAAAAAGCGAAAGTTAACTTGTTAGGCATTGAAAAATCGCGCATTTGAAAGTAATTGTTGCAGCTCAGTTTTCATTCATTGTAATACTTTTGGGGCTTTTTTGTTTTGTTTTTTATTTTTTTATTTTTCATTTTATTTAATACTTTGTTCTATTTTTTTATTGTGAACATACTGTACAGATGGGTTACAATTACATAGGCAAGATAATGAGTATATTTCTTATCAAGCATTGTAGCCTGCTCCTTTGTTTACCCTTCACATCCCTTCCCAGCCTCCACCCGCCCCTCAACCCAATCCTCCCCCCCACCAAAGTTGTAAAGTTCGCTTTCCACAAGACAACTTTTTATTTAATACTTTTGTTTTTAAATGCTTTAGCAACATATTGCATAACTCTTGGACAACTGCGTTTTTTCCCAGACGCTGAGTTCTTTACGAACATTTATAACTATACTGCCTTTGAATTGTGCAGAGATCTTCATTGTAAAGCTTTTAGATTTAGTTTTCCCATATGTGATCAAAGTGCACAAGAATTAAGCCTTGGGCATTGAGATATCTGATTTCTGTATTCTATTTCTTAATTGTTCATAATTTTAAGCGGAAACAAACTCGGAATGAAGTTTTAAATTTGTATTTCGCTTTCCTTACTGTTAAGCTCTGAACCTGGAGACACAGAGCTCATAACTTACATACCACTGAATTTTGGAACAAACTACTAGCATTCAACATTGTTGAAGTGGGAGTCGGGGGCCAGTGGCTCACACCGGAAATCCTAGCTACTCAGATCTGAGGATTGCAGTTCGAAACCAGCTTGGACAGAAAAGTCTGTGAAAACTGGAAGCAGCGCTGTGGCTCAAATGGTAGAGTGCTCAGCGACAGAGTGGTAAGGTTCCACTATCAGCTATTTGATTTGCATAAAGGCCTTTCATAGGCTTATATCCCCTAATAAGGGATGGAGAAAGCTAAAAATTATTTTTGCATAACAATCCTATATAAATAAACTTTCCCATGGTTTTCAGTTTTCCTCTCTGGGGGCCTGAACTCTGGGTCTGGGCACTGGCCCTCAGCTCTTCAGCTAGTGCTCCATCTACCACTTGAGCCACATTGCCACTTCTGACCTTTTCTACTTATGTGGTGCTGAGGAATCGAACCCAGGGCCTCATGCATGCAAGGGAAGCACTCTACCACTGAGCCACCTTCCCAGCCTGGACTTTTCTTTTTAAATATTAAAATCAGCCAAAGCCCATTACCATCTTGAACTTTTCATTATTTATAATGTAACAGGGTGTAAATGAGAGAAGAATATGAAGACCTCAGTTAAATATACCTAAATTTATTCATTTATTTGCTGACCATTCATTAAGCTTCAAAAAGTACTTACTAGGGAACAAAGGAAAAATATTATTTACCTAATAAAACTTTGCTAGAAGTACAGTATACCAAGCATTGTAACAAGTTTTGCAAAAGAGTTTATTCCCAAAGTGACCAAACCTAGAGATAGAGGACCCAAGACTCCAATCATCTGAATTTTCCAAGGAATAAGGTTTGTGAATACTTGTGAATAAAGATGGAGGATAATCTGACATGTGCCGAAGTATGACTAGAAGTCACCAATACATATGAAATTATACTTCATGGCCCTTCATGCAACACATGTTCAGAAAATTGTATTAGCATGATCTGAGGATGGAGTTTTTAACTTCATCTATCAGAATGTCATCCATTAGGCACCTGTGTAGACCTGAATGACTTCTTCATAAAATTAAAATTTAAATTAAAAAAAAAGGCTATCTCCTTTTTCTTTTGTAACACTGGGGCTTGAATTCAGGGCCTTGGGCTCTTACTTGGCTCCTTTGTTCAATGTTGGCATTCTATGCTTGACCTACTTCAGGCTTTTTTCTTGTGAATTGACAAAACAGTCTCATGGCCTTTTCTGCCTACACTTGGCTTCCAACTATGATCCCCAAATCTCAGCAGATTTCAGCCTCTCTAGTAGCTAGGCTTATAGACATGAGTCATTGGCTCTCAGCCCAACCAGAATTCTTACTAATACTTCATTGCTATTTCTATCAGATTAGCAAAGAATACAGGAAAAGACTTTGAGAGCACATAATTCAGCTTATAATATCTCTTACATGCTTTTCTCAAGGGGCCAGTCCTCTCAGAGCTCAGTATCTTATCTACAAAATTGTGTACATGAAGCTGGTATGTACAGCCCTTTAGTGTCAAATTCCACACTACTGTGAGAGCCAGACTAGTGCTGAGCACCTGTGGTTGGTGCAGTAATTAAAGGACACATTTATAAAGGTGAAAGGTAGAGTTATCACTGTCAGTGCCTTTAACCTTCTGGAGTTGAATGAAAGTACTAGGTTCTACTGGGCCTGTAGGTGGCGCTCAGTGCCTGTGGCTGGTGTGGTATTTAAAAGACCCTGTTTTATAAAGGCTGCAAAGGTAGAGTGAGTCATCATAGTCAGTGGTCTTCAAGTTTCTGGAGATGAATCAAATCATCACATTCTAGTCTAATGGGTGAAGTATTATAAGGCTCTTTCTGGTGCAGAGTCAAAATCAGACACAATTAGGACCTCCAGTGTACTGTCAGAGCTGCTAACTATGATTAATCTGAGAGGATAAAGGGAACATCCTTTACTGTGTTAATAATAACAATATAGGACACAGACCTTTCAAAATAAGACAAAGTAAAAAAGATATAACAAAATTCAGGTATCTTTAAATTACTGCACATAAATGATAGGGTAAGACAGAGGGGAAAAAGACAGACAAACACAGACAGACAGATACAGAGAGAAATGGGGCTAGGTAGGCCTGTAATCCCAGCAACTCACTAGGAGGCAGGAAAATCATGAGTTTTAAAGACACCCATACTGAGCTACATACTCTTATAAGAACGGAAATTAGAAAAAACTCTTTTCTGCATAAAGATTGTAGATATCAGCAGGTTTACTAGGAAAGGAATTACAAATAGGAGAAAGTAGTATGTATGTGGTGTGTGTGTGTGTGTGAATGGCACTAACTCTTGGCCCTTACTTGCAAATAAACTCTGTATAATCTTGCAAAAGTAAAACTTAACTGGCTATTAATTTGATCTCATTCTTCTCCTTGGCCCACATTAAAACATTTCCCAGCCTTTCTTGTAGTTACATGTTGCCTTTTAACTGAGATACAACCAATGATATGCACATAAGAATAAAGTTTAATATTTCCACTCTAGAGTATAATAACCTGTACTATAGATTTTCCTTGCTTTTTTCCCCCTAAGACAAATGTATAAACATGTTTTGGATAGCGGAACCTTCTGGACTGCAGAAACATAGCTTGAGGAAATAGAAATGCAGATTGATTTACAACATTCCATACTCTAGGAGAGTATTCCAGGTTCAGGAGAAAGGAGAAATATTCACATTTCCTGTGTGTGTTTTAATTGCATGGTACCTAGCTATGCTGGAGACAAAATTTCCTCAGGAACTCTCTGGAAATTGCATAATAGACGTCCAAAAATAACACATTACTAGCTATTTTTTTATCCTTTCAAATGAACCTTAAAATTATCTCAGAAAAAAAAAAAAAAGCAAAAGATAGTTGGTTTTCCTCTCAGTAATAAATCAAGGAAAGAAAAGCTTTATTTAGGAACCCAGAAGGACCCAGACTCCTGGGTCCTTTCTCCTAATACCACTTTTAAAAAGGGAGAGTAACTAATAGCCTACAAATGTTAATAGAAGCCCCTGCATCTTGTATTGACTGGACTGTAGTTTTGCATCCAATTTTAACGATTCAGAAGGAAAGAGACTTCTGAAGATTCAGATCTAGATTAACAATTGTGCCTGTGCCTGTACTCCCACCTATATAAGAGACTATGACCAGGAGGATTATGATTCAAAGATAACTCCAGAAGAATAGTTTAAGAGACTCCAACTGCAAAATAACAAGTAAAAAGTGGGCTGGGGATGTAGTTAAGGTTATACAGTGATAGCAGAGCAAGTGAGAGCCCCTCTCTGAGTTTTAAATCATACTGGGGGAAAAAGAAACAGCAACTGAATGTGTTTCAACTTTATCATAAATAATTTTATTTTAATGTATTTAACTTTGTTTTAAAGATGGCTGGGCACCCATAGCTCATGCCTGTAATCCTAGCTACTCAGGAGGCTAAGACCTGATCTCCAATTAACCACCAAAAAGATGGCTCAAGCGGTACAGTGCTATCCTTGAGCAAAAAAGCTCAGCAACCGTGCCAGGCCCTGAGTTCAAGCCCCAGAACTGCACATGCCCACACTCATATGCGCACGCGCGCACACACACACTATGGGAAATCTGACATGTTAAATTGAAATTACTTTATACCTAAATACAAAAAATTTAAATTTAAATTATGGTTTTTGCCACTATGTCAAAACTTTTTTGTTGTTGTTTTTTTGTTTTCCCTACCCAAGCTGGCTTTGAACAGTGATTCTCAGATCTCAGATTCCTGAGTAGCTCAGATTACAGGTGTGAGCCGCCAGTGCCCAGCAAAGTTTAGGGTGGTTTTTTTTGTTCTTTGTTTTTTGTGGGTTTTTTTGTAAAGGTGATATACAGAAGGATTGCAGTTACAGAAGTCAGGTAATGGTTGCGTTTTTGGGTTTTATTTAACCCCCTCCCTACTTTTCTCCCAGTTTTTTTTTTTTCCTCCTCCTGGCCTCCCCCTCCCCCCCCCCCCCCCCCCACATTTTCCACAAAATTCACCACTGAATTAGTTCAGCCTTTGTCCTACCCTCTCTGTGATTCCTCTTACCCCAAAACTTTTGTGGAGCTTCACTACATATTGCTTAATGGCAATCAAATGAGCAGTTTCATTTGTACTCATTTATAGATGCCTAGCATAATGAAATCTCAGAAAGTGTACTGTTATATGAAGCTATTTGAGAAATATTACATTTGCTATTCTTCTGAAAAGTAAAATAGTAATATTGATTTTGCAGATGTCCAGATCTCTTTTTTTAAAAATTAAGTAAATTACTGCATAACGTTCCTTAAATACTAGTATGACTGAATCAGGCAGTCCTCCATGTGCTGAAGAGTCCTCTGTTTCTGCCTCTTCCTCTTTGTCCATTATCTTAGCCATGTGTCCTCAGGAACCTGGAAGAATATTTGGAAAATTACAAGAATAAATCAACATGGAGTTACCTGCAAACTAAAGACAACCCTGGTTTTAGACAATTGAGTATAGAAGCCCAAAACCTCAAGTATTGTCCAAACTTGGAATGGGGTACAATGTTTCTTCTTTGTGGAAGAATCTTCTTACAGATTTGTATCTCACTGCTTTCCAGATTTCAGGCTTATGTTCAGTGTCCTGTTAAGAAGTCTCCTACAAAGCTATTTTCAATTGCAACTGTTCTCTGGCAGTATTTATCCACCTTATCTACATTTTTCTTTTCTTTTCTTTACCAAGATGAAGTACTAGCATCTCATTTTTTTATATCTTTGGTCTATTTCTGTAGCTCAAAACAAAATGAATAAACTCCACACAGAAAGGACTGTGCCAGGAATTGGTGCTCAAGTGGTAGAGTGCTTGTCTTGAGCTGAAGAGCTGAGGAACAGGGCTCAGGCCCAGAGTTCAAGCCCCATGACCGACCAAAAAAAAAAAAAAAAGGATTGTGCCTATGATTTACTGCTGGATTGCCACAAGTACAGGGCTGAGCATGCCGTAAGCATATAAACCATGATTTTTAGCAAGTGGTTAGCAAGTGGTAATAGGTTTGAGCTCAACTCAATAAACAATCTTTGTTGAAAGAGTGAAGTAATATCATAAGATAAAAATGAGTGTGGGGGGCTGGGAAGGTGGCTCAGTGGTAGAGCGCTTGCCTTGCATGCCTGAGGCCCTGGGTTCGATTCCTCAGCACCACATAAGCAAAAAGAAAAAAGCCAGAAGTGGTGCTGTGGCTCAAGAGGTAGAGCGCTAGCCTTGAGCTGAAGAGCTGAGGGACAGTGCGCAGGCCCAGAGTTCAGGCCCCACGACCAGACCCAAAAAAAAAAAAACAAAAACAGAAAAACAAAAAAAAAATGAGTGTGAATGTAATAAAATAGGTGTGAATGCAATACATGAAGTCATACTGTCTTAACCCCAGGAATAACTAATGTCCAAGATTTGATTATCTAGAGGAACCCTGTGAGCAAGCTCAATTCACTATGCTATCATGTGTTAGTCCTTGTAGTAGATCCAATAATGACCTCAAATCCATACAGATACTGTGCATTAAATGAAATAATTTATCTGACGCCTGCTACAGACTTTCAAAGTAATAAAATTACTGTTGGACTGATCATCTGGACAGTTTCCAAGCAAGGTATATCTCCATTATTAGTATCTCCATTTGGGTTTTTTGTTTTGTTTGGGGGTTTTTAGGGGTACTTGAATTTGCACTCAGGGCCTCCAAAATCCTTGGAGGGATCTCTCATCTAAGCCATGTCTCCAAGCCCTAGCATCTCCATGTCTCAAATGATTTAAATGCCAAATACAGAGAGTACAAATGGTAGTAGGATGCTGTCCATTCTCCCAAATCATGTACTAACTAAATGACCCTCTGAAAAAACGCCTGGATAGCTCACTCACTTTATTGTCCCTACAACCATAAACCCGCTCTCAGAAAGTACTCAAATTTGCAATCACGTAAACCCATTTTCTTAACTAGGAGCAGAAAAAATTTGTCTAAAACAATAAAACTGGTAATGTTCTTCCAGCATAAATGAAATCCAACACAAAACTAATTTTTACTGGTTTTCCTTTTTTTCTTTTGTCGGTCACGGAGCTTTAACTCTGGGCTTGGGCCCTGTACCTGCGCTCATCAGCTCAAGGCGAGCGCTCAACGGCCTGAGCCAAAGCGCCACTTCGGTTTTCTAGTGGTTTATTAGAGATAAGAATCTCATCAGCTTTTCTGCCCGGCTTGGCTTTGAACCACGATCCTCAGATCTCAGCCTTCTGAGTACCTAGGATTACAGGCGTGAGCCACGGGCACAGGGCTCTGGTTTTCCTTTTCTCCAAATTGATAGTGGAGGGAAAATAATTTGTTACCCAACCTCGTAAATTTTACTTGCAAGAAAACCTAAAATCTACTGTTAAAGAAAAAAAACAACAGAAATATATGAAGATGTATACTGTATACATGAGACATCCAGAGAAAAGTAGTTCATAGAGTTCTTGAATTAAAACTTGTATAACACCATTAAACACACCCATGCACAAAACCAAAAAACAGCCAGTTGCCAGTAGCTCACAACTGTAAACCTAGCTTCTCAGGAGGCTGGGATCTAAGGTTTGAGGTTTTGAAACCAACCCAAGCAGTAAAGTCTGTGAGACTCTTATCTCCAATTAACCACAGGCGTAGCTATGGCTCAAGTGATACAGTAGTAGCCTGGAGCAAAAACTCTCAGATCCTCAGTTCATGCCACAAGGTTGGTACAAAGAAAAAAGCATATGAAGTATATATTGCATAAGAGTAAAAATCTCAATTACTTGATTCCCCAAATGCAACACCAATGCAGCCACTATTAACTGTCAATAAATGTGTTTGCATTAAATAAATTTTAAAATCATTATTTTTTATTAATTCTAAAATCGCCAATATTATTTGCTGCAAAAATACTAAAGGCATAGCAATTAGGTTTCTAAATGATGTCAAAGACAAACAAAACATTTTCTGGTTTATAACAAGGCAATGGAATGAAATGGTCCTGACAAAATGCTTTCTGGCAAATTTTGTGGGAGGTGGATGAGTACATAGGCTTTTAAAAATTCTTAACTTCTTCCATGTATTCAAAAATGTCATACAATAATTTTTAAAAAGAAAATATCTGCAAATGGTGAATTGCCAAGATGGCCATGAAGAAGTATCAGCTGACTTAAACAGGACCTTGTGTGTACAGAAAAGACATGTGACAGTTCGAAGGGCATCTTCGCTATCTGCCAAGAGGCCAAGAATGATGTTTTTTTCGTATAGCATCCTCGAACATGTCCAGTACCAATCACTGATGGTACAAACTATGAAAGTTGCTGTGTCTCAGCATACTCAAACATTAATTCTTCCCCTCAATTACTCTAAAAGCACTATATGATTCTTGCTGCAGTGTTAAGCAAGCAATCCAGAAAGTCTTCTCTTGGAGAGCAGTATCTAAGCAATGGCAAACTACAGTCAAGTCACCTTCTATTGTGTAAGTCCTTACTAAATTCAAACTCAAGCAGAATTTAAATTTCTTCCGCTTTTTTTTAGCCCCAGGTACCTGTGAATAGCACTATCCCTTTTAACACCTACTTACAATTACTTGGGCCTCCTTCCCACAGTGAACCTAGACTGCAGGTGTAGCGCAAGTAGAGGATCAGCAATTAGCAGAAAAGCCAGGAGCTAGGCCCTGAGTTCGAGCCCCGAAGAGAAAATTCGTCATGATTAAGGTTGCAGGCAAAGGTAATTTTACTAATACTTCCAACGCCACATTGAGACCATTGCGCTATGAGAGCAATCTTAAGGAGGTGGGGGGGGGGAGGAGAAAACAAAACCTGATTGACACAAGCCTTATCCAAAAAATAAGCCTTTTCCCACCAAGCTCAATATTGAGTACGGAAAAATCTCCAAGGCATTATCAATTTTACCTAAGGTAGACTAGATAAATTGTCATTTACACACCTGACTAGCTCAGAAGGCTTATTGCACCTAAACTCTCCTTGCAGTAACATACGATCTATTGCAATGAAAAGAAAAGACACTGAAAAGCTAAGAGTATTTCCCAGCTACTTTTACAGACATTAGTAGGTGGCTCTTAGAAGAGCCTTTTGAGTTTCAGCCAGTGCCAAGAACACGTTACGCCCTCTCTCCACGGATACGGCGCGCAAGCTGGATGTCCTTTGGCATGATGGTCACCCGCTTGGCATGGATCGCGCACAGATTGGTGTCCTCAAAGAGGCCCACCAGGTAGGCCTCGCAAGCCTCCTGCAGCGCCATCACAGCCGAACTCTGGAAGCGCAGGTCGGTCTTGAAGTCCTGCGCGATCTCGCGCACCAGCCGCTGGAACGGCAGTTTGCGGATCAGCAGCTCGGTAGACTTCTGGTAGCGCCGGATCTCGCGCAGCGCCACGGTGCCGGGCCGGTAGCGGTGAGGCTTCTTCACGCCGCCGGTGGCCGGAGCGCTCTTGCGAGCGGCCTTGGTGGCCAGCTGCTTGCGGGGCGCCTTGCCGCCGGTGGACTTGCGAGCGGTCTGCTTGGTACGAGCCATAGCAACCCTAGAACGAAGAGGAAAGAAGTAGGAAAGCAGCAGCTGCCCTTATATACACGTAGGAATGCTCTGATTGGCCTAAACCGTTATTTTGTTTTTTCAAAAGTCCCGCCCAATAAAACTATTGGCTAGAGCAGCGACAACGTGATTGGTAGATTTTGAAACTCTTAAATGAATTACTGAATTTTCCAGTTCTCCATTTTTTTTCTTTTGAAGGGTTCCAAGCGTAAATTTTGTACTAGACCTCTTTCATTACAATTATTTTCAAACAAGTCATTAGACATGTAAAAGAGAAAAAATTTAAAAGCAAAAAACACTTGAAATGTTCAGATTGGATCGTGGTATCACGTATAATTTTTCTCCAATTTCTTGTTTTCTAATTGTTATTGTAAAGGCGATGTACAGAAGTTAGTTACGTATGCCGGGTAATGAGTTATTTTTTCCATTTCTTTGTAGTCTTACTCGGGAGATGTTTTCCAAAATTTTGTCCCATGATTCCGATAGGTCCATAAGAAACCAAACTCTGGGATGTTAAGTTTCCATATGTGGAAGTAGTAAATTCTAAAGATTACACCTTGAAAATATGTACTAAGTTTACTGGTAATATTTCAGATTACTTCCAGGACTTCCACCTTCTAGCAGTCGAGGGACGGCAGAGTACCAGGGACATCACCTGAAAGCACTGTGCCTGAGTGAGTTGGCAACTGTTTACTTCCTAATGTTAGCCCAATTAGTTTTATGTTCACAGTGAAAACCTCAGGCTTACTTCTGGTTGCCCAATTTACCACCCATCGTTTTAAATCTCAAAATTTTACACCAGACTATTGCATTTTCCCCAGGAAAACATCCACTCCACCGCCCAAAAGCTCTAACAAGGCTTTCCTTTGTTTCCCTTCTTGTAGAAGATACCAGCAACACTGGGTCTGCTTAAAATTCCACTTTTCACACTTGACTTTCACTTGCTTCCTCCAACCTTTCGTGTACCACAAACATAGGACATATGTACAACCCACCCACTTGCAACCACAGAAAGAAACTGTGCAACTTATGAAACACCATTTCCAAGCGATTGTTACGAGCTCTCATATGAAGATGTGGGTGGCTCTGAAAAGAGCCTTTGGGTTTGAATGCAGACAGCTACAAGGACCGTTTTACTTTCCCTTAGCCTTGTGGTGGCTCTCGGTCTTCTTGGGCAGCAGCACGGCCTGAATATTGGGCAGGACGCCGCCCTGAGCGATGGTCACTTTGCCAAGTAGTTTGTTAAGCTCCTCGTCATTGCGGATGGCCAGCTGCAAGTGTCGGGGAATGATGCGAGTTTTCTTGTTGTCCCGAGCTGCATTCCCGGCCAACTCCAAGATCTCAGCGGTGAGGTACTCCAGCACTGCAGCGAGGTAGACCGGAGCACCAGCACCAACTCGCTCGGCGTAGTTGCCCTTGCGAAGCAAGCGATGGACACGACCAACAGGGAACTGCAGTCCAGCCCGTGAAGACCGGGTCTTCGCCTTAGCGCGGGCTTTGCCTCCTTGTTTTCCACGTCCAGACATAGTTATGACGAGACAGAAAAAAACCACTCCAGAACGTACAAACACCCAACAGCTTAATATTTATACAGTACGGTAGGCTTCTGAACTAACGAATAGCATAGGCAGTCCTCACATTTTAGCCAATCAACCAGCAGGTCTAAGAATAATATCTAGTCCTAATTTACATAAACGTTTCAGGTTGAAAGGTTAAGGGATTAGAACACTAGCCAATGAGAGAATAGAATAAAGTAGCCTATCGGTGGCCAAGATTCTAAAAAGACCAACCACAGTCCTTCATTTCACAAGTGCTCATTTGCATCTACCCCAAGCAAATAACTAGGGCGCTCGGGCCCTTCTTACACTTGTTCATTGTAATCCAGGAGTAATAGTCCGAATATGCCCGAACCAGCGAAGTCCGCTCCCGCGCCCAAGAAGGGGTCGAAAAAGGCGGTGACCAAGGCGCAGAAGAAGGACGGCAAGAAGCGCAAGCGCAGCCGCAAGGAAAGCTACTCGGTATACGTGTACAAGGTGCTGAAGCAGGTCCACCCGGACACCGGCATCTCGTCCAAGGCCATGGGCATCATGAACTCGTTTGTGAACGACATCTTCGAGCGCATCGCGGGCGAGGCGTCGCGTCTGGCGCACTACAACAAGCGCTCGACCATCACGTCTCGGGAGATCCAGACGGCCGTGCGCCTGCTGCTGCCCGGGGAGCTGGCCAAACACGCCGTGTCCGAGGGCACCAAGGCCGTCACCAAGTACACCAGCTCCAAGTAGATTTTGTTGGTCTACTTGGAAAGCCAAACAACCCAAAGGCTCTTTTAAGAGCCACTCACTTACTTTTTGAAAGATCTGCAAACAAACTTGGCCACGTTGGTAGTGGGTACGCTAGGAGGTTGTAAATGCTGGCGTTTCATATACTCCGATGTTTAGGGAATGTCTTCAGTAGAGTTACATACAGCATGCTAGAAAGAAAAACCCAGCTAATGTCAGTTACCCACAAAACAGGACACCTCCACCCTATTCCACTGTAGTTTTCTATAAGAATTCCTTAGTCTATAGCAAGCGGATTTTAGTGCACCTACATGTAAGCACTGTGGAAAAATCGAATATTTAGCAATTTGTCATCTAATGGGATACGTTATTGGCAGCTGTTTCCTGGACACATCTCTACCTGACCCTTTCCCCCATTCTGGAGTCTGCATGTCTTCGCAGAATTAATCGTTCCTGAGTTATTTAATTAGTAATGTGCACTTGGCACTTTATTCTGGAGTGCGAGTTTAGTTGCAGGAATATGGAAATTTAGATGTAAGCAGTAAAAATCTGATGGGTTTGGAAGCCATCCGAGTCCTGTAAAAGACTCCCTTCAACAAAATCATTTTCCAGGAACCTTTGATACGCCTCACAAGAACGCCCATTTAGTCATTTCAACAAAATATAGACCTCAGATACAAAGCCAAGTTTTATTTTAGCAAATCACAATAAGGAAAGCTAGCAAACAAAAAGACGTTCTGAAACAAAGGGCGGATTTACATACGGTTCCCGAGCTGAGTGCTATGCAAATGAGGGATTCAAACGAATAATGTTTGATTGGTTAATTCCAATGCGATTGGTTAATTCCAACAAAAACTCCGTGATCACTGGGGAAGGGAGGGTGAAAATGAGTTTCCAAAAACTGTAGAGGCTGAAATTAGTCCAGTAAGAGCTGTAAACTTAAGTTTCTTCCCGAAATACTGGGTGTAGTGCCCAAGTCGCAGGACCCCTACCAAGACCACCACCGAGGGTCAGACGTTCTGAAATGCAAAGGCAAGGTTTTATTTAGACGGGCTGCAGCTCGGGCCTGGGTCCTACACTCCGACACAGCGGAGCCTAGGAGGAGAGCCCCGAGCTAAACATTTACAGAGCTTATAAAGGCAAACAACCATGTGTTTGGATTTCCACCACGTGTTGCTCTGCTAGCTGAGATAATTGGTGGTCTAGGTTTGCTCACAGGATTTGCTTATCTTAGGTTTAACCTTTCAGTTTAAACAAGCAACAAATGGTCACTGCCTCAAAAATGGAGTTAACCCTTCCTGGGTACCTGTGTGACCCCAGTCAGAAGATGGATTCCATCCCTAATTTTGTATTTGGGTCTGTCAGCCATTTGAATCTCGGAGATTCAGCTTTTCACAATACTCAATGCAGAAATCAGAGGTGTTGGGTTGTAAAAAGAATAAGTATCTTAAGAGTTGCTTACTAATTTATTCCTTTTTTTTCTTCCTTTTCTTCCTGCTCCCTTTACTGCCTCATGACGATTCTTTTTCCTCCATATTTTTTTTTCCGGTCGTGGGGCTTGAACTCAGGGCCTGGGCACTGTTCCTGAGCTTCTTTTGCTCAGGAAACACTCTACCACTTGAGCCACAGCACTACTTCTGGCTTTTTCTGTGAATGGGTGCCCAGGAATTGAACCCAGAGCTTCATGCACTCTACCGCTGAGCCACCTTCCCAGCCCATATTCTTTTTGTTGTTGCTACATTTCCCCAATATATCTTTTTTTTTGGGGGAGGGGTCCGGTCGTGGGGCCTGAACTCTGGGCCTGGGCGCTGTCCCTCAGCTCTTCAGCTCAAGGCTAGCGCTCTACCACTTGAGCCACAGAACCACTTCCAGCTTTTTTCTTTTTGCTTATGTGGTGCTGAGGAATTGAACCCAGGACTCAGGCATGCAAGGCAAGCGCTCTACCACTGAGCCACCTTCCCAGCCCCCTCCCCAATATATCTTAAGCCAAAAATATTGAGGTGAGGGTGCTTATGATGAATTTCTGCAACTTCATAAATTTGTTCTTTAATTGGAACATAGGAAAATAGCTACTTGATGAGATTTAATTGGCCTGGAGTTATATCCTTGGACAGTAACTCCAAAGAAAACTCATTGGGGTACATTGCTAACACCTAAATAGCTGAAGAACATCAGCTCCCTCAAGCCCCAGGGTTGAAGTATTTGGCTCTAGTTCTAGTAGCTACTACCACTACAATCATTAATGCTTTAGTACCTGGTTTTCTAAAGGAACCACAAAATAGTTACTAAGTTTTGTGAACCCCCTACAGAGTATATATTGGTGGAGTTAAAAATATACTACCCTTGGGCTGGGAAGGTAGCTCAGTGGTAGAGCACTTGAGGCCCAGGGTTCAGTTCCTCAGCACCACATAAGCAAAAAGAAAAAAGCCATCAGTGGCACTGTGGCTCAAGTGGTAGAGCGCTAGCCTTGAGCTGAGGGACAGCGCCCAGGCCCAGAGTTCAGGCCCCACGACCGGACAAAAAAAAATATTTTATATATATATATATATATATAAAACCCAAAAAAATATATAATATCTTGACATACTGAATAGTGAAGAAATTTAAGAAATTGCATGTGTAAGAAATTATGCTGTTCCTCTTTTCCCTCAAAGCAAATCCTAAGTATCTACTGTAAAACATGCTGACCCCAAAAAGGAAACTGAACAAAAGGTTTTTGCATCATCACTCCAGTTCATTAACATTAGCTCATGTTTTTGGGCTATGTTTCTGCAATACTGTCCACTCTCATAAATACAGCATAAATTCATAGGTGTGACTGCTTTTACTCAGGCCTGACTGATTTCTGTATGAAGACTCCCTGTCATCTTAAATAACTTAAATGAATATGTATGCTTTTGTCATTAATATATTTTATAACAGGCATACTAGCTAACAAACCTGAAGAAAAGGAGAAAAAGATACTTCTGGGTGTGCGTGCATGTTTTGTGTTCATCTTTATGAACTGACCACCGCAAAGATTCAAAGCAAATGAATTACAAAATGAAAATGGTTAAGTTTGGGGTTTTGTTTGTTTAGTTTGCTAGGGCATTCAGGGAGAAAGTACTACAGAATGAGTGGTGGCTTAAACAACCTATTTTCTTACAATTTAGATGTCACTAAGTCTGAGATCAACCCTGTGGCAACAATTAACTTCTGTGGCTTTTTCTGTTGGCTGGTAGATAGTTTTCTTCTCTGTCCTCACATGATGTCTCTGTATTGATGCCCAAATCTCTTCTTGCAATTAGATCATTTGGGGCAGGAGGTGGGGAGGGGGAGAGACACCGATATTTTTATAACTTTAAAGACTATTTCTCCTGGGCTGGGAAGATGGCTCATGGTAGAGCGCATGCCTTGCATGCCAGAGGCCCTGGGTTCGATTCCTCGCACCCCATAAGCAAAAAGAGAAAAAAGCCAGAAGTGGCGCTGTGGCTCAAGTGGTAGAGTGCTAGCCTTGAGCTGAAGAGCTGAGGGACAGCGCCCAGGCCCAGAGTTCAGGCCCCACGACCGGACCCAAAAATAAATAAATAAATAAAATAAAAATAAAGACTATTTCTCCAAATTCAGTCATATTTTCAGGTGATAGGAATTTATCAGATGAAATTGAAGCAGATACAATTTAACTCATAACAAGAAATATGGAATGACATTGACCAGACATTGAGCTTTGTGCTCATAATCTGACTTATGGAATTATAATCATTTTGTACAACTACTTAATAACAATTTTAAAAAAGAAAAAAAAAGATGGAGACTAGGCTTTTAAGTACTACATTAACTACTAGTCCACAGGTGTTGCAAACAAAGCAGGAGACCAAGATTGCCCTGTCTATATTCCTCCTCAGCTCCATTTACTCATCCTTGAATATTATTTTTTCTGCATGTATTTCATGTAAAATCTTTTTAAAACTTAAAACTTAAAATGGTAATCATTTTAAACTTCTACTTATTATTGCAATTCTTGTTTTTAAAATCTAGAAATATAAATGTTTAATATTAGGAGTTTGGCAAAAATAAAAAGGTTTTTGTATCCTATGCAGCTCTTAAATATTGTAGTAAAAATAAACATAAATATAATGGTAGGATACAATGGGAAAAAAGTTACCAAATAATATATTTTCATTTTTATTATATAAAATTACTTACAGGAGGAACAAACAAAGGATGAATGCCACAATGTTAATAGTATTTTTACATTTGGAGGAGGAAGGAAGGAAAGAATCAACTCCTTAAAGATAACTATCTCTACTTGGCTTTCTCTCAAATCTCAGCTGTTTGTTTCACAGATAGGAAATTCTGCTGCAGACCCTTCTTTGCCATATGTTAAGGAAACCAAAACTTATGTATTAGACAATTATTGAGTGACACCTTTTTAATAAGCATGCTAGGCACCTGGCATACAAAAATGCCTTAGAGAATTTTAGAATACAATTAAAATTCAAAAATAAAGTAAATGGTATTTAGCTTAAAAGGAAAAGAAAAAAGGTGAGAATTATTTGTAAACCACCTAGTCATATAATTGTGAGCACGTGGTAGAGCACCAGCCTTCATTGAAAAAGCTACCCAATGGGGCTGGGAAGGTGGCTCAGTGGTAGAGCGCTTGCCTTGCATGCCTGAGGCCCTGGGTTCGATTTCTCAGCACCACATAACCAAAAAGAAAAAAGCCGGAAGTGGCGCTGTGGCTCAAGTGGTAGAGCGCTAGCCTTGAGCTGAAGAGCTGAGGGACAGCGCCCAGGCCCAGAGTTCAGGCCCCACGACTGGACCAAGAAAATAAAAATAAAAAATAAAAAAAATGAAAAAGCTACCCAATAGCACAAGGCCTTGAGTTCAAACCCCACTACCAGCACAAAACAAAAAAAGAAAAGGGAGGGAAGGAGGGAAGAAAGGCAAAAAGAAGGAAAGATCCTTAAGTAGGGCTCTTTGCAAAAATAGCTGCTAATATACAGTGATTTGACTTACATTCTCACTAGATATCCTATGTACTATTATTCCATTCCTTTGATTTTCATTGTGATGTTTTAATTTTCGAAAAAGAAAACTGCAGGCTCCTCAGGGCATAAAAAATAAGCCTGGTATTTGGTATGGAGTTTGCAGAGAGCTTAGTATAAGACAACCTCCTGGAAAGGATGACATTCAAACACAAACCTGAAGAAAAGTGGGGTAGCAGTTACCTATAGAGACCTGGCAGTTCACTGCTCCTGCAGAGGGAACTGTCATTACATAGTCCTGAGATAGACATGTACTTCAAGAAAGTTCTAGGAGTAATGAAAGTGGAATAGAAAGGAGAGAAAAAGTATTGGCAAATAAGTATAAAGAAGTAATAAGGGCTAGAGATTGGGGACTTGTGGGCCATTGAAAGAACTTTGGGTTTTGAGTGAAATGAGGTTTTCAGCAGTCATGACCCAACTATTTCCAAAAAAAATCAGATTTTATTTATTTTAGCAATCCTGGAGCTTGAACTCAGGGCCTGGGCACTGTCCCTCATCTCTTCAGTTCAAGGCTAGCGCCCTACTACTTGAGCCACAGCACCACTTTCAGCTTTCTGAGTGGTTTATTGGAGATAAGAGTTTCACAGCTCTTCCTATTGAGGCTGGTTTTGAACTGTGATCCCCAGATCTCAGCTTCCTGAGTAGCTAGGATTACAGGCATGAGCCACCAGCACCCAGCTGTCCCTGGATTCTTTTGCTCAAAGTTAGCCCTCTACCACTTGGGCCATAGTGCCCTTCTGGCTTTTTCTGTGTATGTGGTACTGAGGAATCAAACTCAGGGCTTCATGCATGCTAGGCAAACACTCTACAACTGAGCCACATTCCAGGCCCCAAATCAGATTTTTATCTAAAGATCCATCTTCTTGGAACCATCTGGATCAGGCATGATAAACCAAAATTAAAGTGTTAAGCAGAGTTCTACAAAATGTTTCAGGAGGCCTGATAATTGCTTGAAAAATCTGTGAGGAAGATCCATGGATCTTCATAGATCACCCAAAATCTGTGGAAAGGCTGTGTTTATGTTGAAGTCTTATTACATACTCTTATTACCAAATCCACTTTCCTACATCTGCAAAATAATGATATACTCTACCTGAGAATTACAACAGAAAAAGAGACTTATTTGAGAAATACCCATAAAATCATAATGTATTGCCAGGCACTGGTGGCTGGCTCACACCTGTAATCCTAGCTAGTCAGGAGGTTGAGATCTGAGGATCACAGTTCAAAGCCAGCCCCAGCAGGAACATCCATGAGACTCTGATCTCTAATTGACCACCAGAATAGTGGAAGTGGTGGTCTGGCTCAAGTGGTAGAGCACTAACTAGCCTTGAGCTGAAGAGCTCAGGGACAGCATCAGGCCATTAGAGTTCAAGCCCCACGATCGACCAAAAATAAAAAATCATAACGTATTAATCGACAGAGCTTGAAAACAAACACTATTTCTCTAGCCTGGTTCAGTTTTTAAACTGCTTCTCTTCATTATCAAATTTCCTGAGAAAATTCATCTGATCTTGTTTTTCTTTATTTTCTTTTTGGTCAGTCATGGGGCCTAAACTCTGGGCCCCCGCACTGTCCCTGAGCTCTATAGCTCAAGGTTAGTGCTCTACCTCTTGAGCCACAGCGCCACTTCTGGCTTTTTCTGCTTATGTGGTGCTGAGGAATCAAACCCAGAGTCTCATGCATGCAAGGCAAACACTCTACCACTGGGCCACCTTCCCATCCCTGATCTTGTTTTCGACTCATGGTAAATATTTTTTTTTCTCCAAAACTCCAGCTTTATACCCAATCATTTCACATTTTCTTTTAGATACACCCAACCATTTCATATTTTTTTAGATACTTAACAGTATTTCAAACTCTCTGGATAATCAAAATTAAGCCTCTAATTCTCTCCAAAACATATTTCCTTCATTTTCTTCCCTCTATTAGTAATTTTTTTCTCCCTCCAGTGGCTATTGCTAAAATTATCAGAATCATCTATGAACTTTCCTTCTCTCATTCCCTACTATCATTTGGTCAGGGGAAAAAAAAACAGCAGGCTAAAAAGTGTTAAATCTTTCTAAATGTATACAGAATCTACAGATCACTAACACATTGGTCCAAGTCACTGTGTGTAGTAGTAGCAGCCTCCCAACTGCTCTCCTTGCCCCTACCCAGTCTATCAGTCTATTTTCCATCAATCAGGCAAATAGGTCATTTCACACTATAAATCAGAACCTTTTTAGTCCTCTGCTCACAACTACCACCTCAGTCAAAGTACAAGGTAAATACTTAATATTAACTTTCAAAGTCGTACAGGAATTAGTCACTTTCATTTTGCTTCTTAAGCCTATCTCCTTTTAGGTTTCAATATCTTTTTTCCCATCAGTTATGAAGCTTTGGATGACCATATCATTTGAAGTATTACTTCTCTTCACACATTATAAACTTTTTCCTTCAAAATTCACCACCATGACGCTTAGCACCATCAGATCCACTGTTTTATTTTGCTTACACTTTTACACTCTAAAATATAAACGGTGAATGTAGAATTTCATTTACTATAGTCATTCACTGTTAGAATTCCAAGAGTATAAAACACTGCCTGAGGCATACTACATGCTAATTTCTTTTAATATGTTTTTCTTCTCTAAGTTCCTTATCTACATCTGATTGTTTCAATTCTTACAAGAACATATCTTTTAAAGGTCAAATCTATTAACACCATTGGTCTTCTTAATCCAAAATGACCCTACAGATTACTCACAAGGAAAAAAAGCCCCATTTTACACTGGAATTCCCATGTCCCTGATATGGTGCAAGAGAATATACATATCATCGATAATTTCCTGACAAGAATACTAACCTGATCTCAACTAAGCTTATAGAAATCACCGCTATTTTACATAACAGGAGGCAAGAAAATGTATCCCATCGAAAGAGCAAAAGAACATATTAGATCTGATCCCCAGGAAATCTGTCTTAAATGGAAGGGAACAAGGATTCTCTAGCAGAATGGAGACAGCACCGGCTAAGTGTTGCATATTTGAAAGCACCAAAGTATCTAAAAACTAGAGCACAACTGGGATGTTCTCAATGTGGACTGCGTACAGAACTCAAGGAATTTAGCTTTAAAGGAAAAAGAAGCATTAAAGTATTGCATACTTAAGGATGAATTGTCATGCCGACACTTTTCTTAATCACACTACTAGCTAACTAACACCCTATCTGCATTTTTAGTGCCTCCATATGAAATCAGCATTAAGCCTCTATGAAGCTCTTTGCCGCCTTCATAAATGCTTCTCACCCAACACAGATCTAAAGAGGCCAGGAAGAGCTCGTAGCTCACACGGCAGGACCTGGGACGCAAGCTCCGCCCAGCCCCGGGGCAGTTCCGCTCACACTCGCACTTTGTTCCTGGGTTTCCCCTTCGCGCCAAATGGGCGCGCGGCTCTTTGTTCCGCCATTTTGAGCGCCGTATCAGGAAGCCGGCTTTCCCAGGCTCCGAAGGACGCGGGAAGAGCCTTGCCCAGGGTGTTTAGTTATAAAAAAAAAAAATCGTTCGTCTGGGTCAATAAACCGGACACTCCAGGAGCGAGATTTAACTACAGTGCCGAAAAACTAAACCCAACTTCATGGAGATAACAAACCACATTTGGGACACTTAGCCGGAGAAAATGTTCGCTCTTTCATAGAGAATGTGGGCGGCCCTGAAAAGGGCCTTTGGTTCAGTAAATTGGGCTTTAGGAGTTCCTAGCCGCCGAAGCCGTAGAGGGTGCGGCCCTGGCGCTTGAGCGCGTAGACCACGTCCATGGCGGTGACAGTCTTGCGCTTGGCGTGCTCCGTGTAGGTGACGGCGTCGCGGATCACGTTCTCCAAGAACACTTTCAGCACCCCGCGAGTCTCCTCGTAGATCAAGCCGGAGATACGCTTGACGCCGCCCCGACGAGCCAGCCGCCTAATAGCGGGCTTTGTAATACCCTGGATGTTGTCGCGAAGGACCTTGCGATGACGCTTAGCGCCACCCTTCCCGAGGCCCTTACCGCCTTTGCCGCGTCCAGACATACTGAAGAAGCTACAAGAACGTCCCCAAAACGCAGCTGAGCAAGGCGGCTCTTGCCTTATATGCACGGATTTCGGACCTAATTGAAGACTGAAGGCGCCAGCCCTCTGGTCCCGCCCTAGCCCCGCCCCTCGAACCACATGTGATGTGACGTCACCAACGATTTGAATGTCCGTTCACGGAGCTCTATTGTCTGCTGAGACCTCTCCAAAAATTCCTTTCTGTAGTTTTCACTGTCAACCTAAAGTAAAGAAATTTTAATGATTGCCATTTTCCACTTGAGATGCTTTCGGGTTGCTGAGGGGCGTTGCTCTGTAACACAATTCTGTTTAAGATGGACCCCGGGTTTTTTAACTTTTCCCTCTTCCTGCTGTACGGGTCCAAAAATACAAAAGAGTTGGAAAATCGCAACCTAATCTCCGTATCACATAGTTAAGGGAAGTATGGCCAGAAAAAGGTTTTCCCGAAGGAGGCAAATACATGGTCGGATACCGATTCTTTGGTATGATTCTCAACTCGCGCCGAGATTCAGATTCTAATTCCGGCTAGTTTCTTTCCTTCCCCAGTTAGTTAAAATGTGCCATTTTATGTAAACTTTTTGCTACCTTTCACAACTCACTAGCGTGTTGTTTCTCTACTTTTTACTTTTGTCTTCTCTTCGATTCTAGTAGCAACATTCTTCCAAACAATTGGCATCCTACAGTAACCAAGTATTGGAAGAGGGCTTACATAGCAGACGGAGTAGAGTTGAATGTTAGTAGGCAACATAACACATAAGAGTGTTAATAGGACGCTTCTTAGCAGCGAAGCAGAGTGGCGCAGCGGAAGCGTGCTGGGCCCATAACCCAGAGGTCGATGGATCGAAACCATCCTCTGCTAGGTTGTCTCTTTTCTTCCAGCCTTCTTTTTTCCTACTTTTAATACTAACTTAAGCTACGTTTGGACCTAAGCTACCTTATGCCTATCCTCTTCCTCATACCAACAACCTTTCTCCCCCTCTCTCCTCTCCTTTCTCCAAATCTGCCTTCCTGTCTCTCTGTCAGACTGCTGTTGCAGGTTGTCTTTTATCTAATTACGCTGACCTTCTGTCACTGTGACGCAATCATGTTACCCTCTGTCTCAGCACTGCCCGTTCTTTATTGTCAGCATCTGTAGTCTCTACAAACATCCATCTCTGCCCCTGTCTGTGTAATTCTTCAGGTAACATTAATCATCTCTCTTCTGTATCTCTGTGAGCTTCCCATTTTCACCTTTATTACCTGTTTGCTAACCAACAAGCATTTGACCAAAGATGTCGGTTCAACTTTACAGACTCCTTGGCCTTAATGTGTTAGATTTTGCTCTGTAGAAAGAATCTAATTGGTCCATACCTGGGCTGGGTTGTTTGGTTAATAGGCACTGTTATTTATGCTGTACTTTATTCTGTAACTGAGGCTTGGATGGGGAAAGTTAAATAACTAGTTATGTAATAGGTGAAGTGGGGCAGATAAAGGTAGATGAGCAAGATAGGTATACATTTCAAATGTACCCGTGTGTCCCCGCCATTTCTGCCAGATAGGCTAGGATAAAGGAGATACTTACATATTTGTTATATCAAACTGAACTTTTCTGAGATCATTTCTAATGGAATACTGTATCTTGGCTAAGAAAATAGCAGCAGCAGCAGCAGCAGTGAAGGCAAATATACAATTAAAATTTTCTAGTCATTAGTTAACCTTTTCAGAATTCTTAGGCATGATTTGTTTTCCTAATGCTACTTAGTATTTTTATAAGGCTTGCTTTGAGTCAATTTTCTGAGAATAAAATTTTTGTTACTCAAGGGTGATCTAATGTGCCTATAATAAATTACTATGAAATGAGAACGAAACACCTATTGAAGCACTTTTTTTAAATAATGACCACATAAATAAATGCAGCAGTTCAACATATCACTTGCCTCTTACTTATTAAAATGTAATTCCATAAATAAAAAGTCTCTGAAAAAATATTTTCATTCACTTTCAGACTGCTACGAAACTGATTCATCTGTTTTTCTAGCTTCATTATCCTTAATTTGATGTTGAAAGAAAATAAAGGTTATGCATTTGAAACCGTATTTAGGAATATCTACCCAGTAAATGAAGTTCTTTACTTGGCTTTTAAAATTAAAATTCTCTTTCCATTATTTACTAACTTACTGAATTAATCAGAAATATATTTCTGTAGGACATTAAAATCACAACAAAGCAATTAATTATTGAATATCTTGAGAATTCAGTTGTTGTGTGCAAAAAAATTGGTTCCTTTATAATTTATAATAATCTTATTCATGAAATTTCATTGTTAGACACAGAAGGGAACATAAAGATAGCATAAAGAAGCCTTCCAAACGTGTTTTGGAAAATAGAGAAAGAATATGATAAAGGAAGTGCAAAATACACTGTATATATCCACAGAATAATCACAACGAAACCTTCTTGCACTATCAATGTGTGTTTAAAAAAAAGTTAAGGTAAGATTTTTTAAAGGAACAAAAAGCCTGGGCTAGCCTGCACAGCGATCCTATTTATGCTTTCTACCGTACCTGGAATGACAGGCATAGATATAGATAGATAGATAGATAGATAGATAGATAGATAGATAGATAGATAGATAGATAGATAGATAGATAGAGACAGATAGACAGACAGACAGATAGACAGATAGACAGATAGATAGACAGACAGACAGACAGACAGACAGACAGACAGACAGACAGATACCATACCTAGTTTTGAATTGATTGAAATTGAATCTCCAAACATTTTGCTTGGACTGGCCTCAAATGAAGGTCCTTCCAATCTCTACCTCCTAAATAGCTAGAATTACAGATAGGAGCTATCATACCAACCTATGGTGGTTGCTGATTCCTCAGCAGGACCTGGGGATGTAGTGCTGAGAGACAGAGAGTGGACTACACCAAGCAGGTATGGACAAAGTTTAATTTTAAAACCCTACATCCTTATATACTATTCACAGACAAAAAAGGTTATTTTTAGCCACAAAACATAAAACAGCTTTATGTGCTCAGAAGTTACATCAAAGGTTACAGAAAATAAGCAGGATGCAGATGATTTCTTTTACACACAAAAAGGGAGTGTTACGAGGTCATTCAGAGGAACACCATAGGGCACCTTCTGCATATCCCCGGAGGTTGTGGCCAGATGTCTGGACTGTTGTCCTCGGACGGGGTCACGCAGGCCTGTGCCTCCAATACACCTAGACATGTTTTTAAACAAGAAAATACTTTCAGTGAAACACTATTTCTTGCCAGGCACCAGTGGCTACTCAGGATGCTGAAATCTGAGACCAGTTTTCAAAGCCAGCCCTGGGCAGGAAACTCCTTGAGATTCTTACATACAATTAACCACCCAATAAATACATAAATAAATAAGAAAAGCAGAAATGCTGCTGTAGCTCAGATAGTAGAGTGCTACCATTGAGTAAAGAAACACAGGCCCTGAGCTCAAGCCTTGGGCAAACAGAAGAGAAAAAAAAAAAAAAGCACTATTTAAAAGAATACTATACTAAGTGCAGAAGGAAAGGAATAAGAAAACCTGGTGGTTGTAGCTGTCTACTAGTTCAGTGATCAGGGAAAACTCTTAGCTTAACCTATATTTGCTACAGTGAAGAAGACAATGCAGGACAGAGAGAGGGGGGAGGAAAGAAAGGGGGGAGAGAACAGAGAGAGAGAAAAGCTAGTGAAGGCTTTCTGGTGAAGACTTTCTTGCTCTCTGTCTTCTGTGATGGCATACATGCAGGGACATAAGTCAGCTGTGCTGACCAAGAAAAGTCCACTTGAATATTGGAGTTGACGTTGTTGAAGAATTTGTGGGGTAGACCCTTAACCAAACACTGAATATACATCATGAATTGTCTTGTTTACTTCAAATGTCCTGTCTACTCAGACCATAAAGTCTCATTCGTTGCTCTAGAGATATAGAATGATATCATTATTCCAGGAATTATGTCAAAAGTGTCACTGTCATTATCTAGAGGATTCAGTAACAATTGAGTAAAACTGTTTTTCTGCAGTAACTGTGTCATTATCTACTTCAGGAATGGTGGCAGGTTTTGAGGCAAGACTTCAGTGAGTAAGCAACCAAGCACATTCTAGGCAAAAGAAAACAGTGTAAGTAGACATAATAGTTAAGTTCCCATGGGTGAAAGAGTGAAGCAGCAAAGTCTATGATAGCAAATACTCCCTTCTCCATCCTCTAGCATGGAGGCGAAGATGGCTATGTAAGAAAAAAGGGTTTGGAGAAATTTAAAAAAAAAAAAAAAAGTGGCTAAGTGGCTATGTTTAAAACACCTCCTCGTCACCCATTGAAGGAGGAGCTTTGTCCCTAAGTAATAGGAAATGGCTGAACAAATCACACTCAACTCTGTACTCTACCCCAGCGTAGCGGAGTCTGGCCCAATGTATTAGTTACATGTACTTGCAGCCTGGATGTAAAGAGCACTGAATGCCAGAGAGGGTGCTTTGGAGCAGAATGAAGCAAAGGACTGGGAGAAGCCGACTTTCTGCTCCACAGAGGATGAGGAGCCGGGCTGGCATCCATTGGATGACTTCTGTTGCCTCTGCCTTTTCGAATTCCTTGGTCAGTTAAACATAAGCGTTGGTGGTGGAATTTCTATTTTCTCGTCCTGTGCTTCTTCTCTTCACTCCTTAGTATATGAGAACTTCTGAAATAATACTGCGGGCAGTTCGCCGACATCACATCGTAACAAGCAGGGTGGTGAAAACCACCATCCCGGGTGATCGCACCGCTGTGACCTTATCCACCTGGGGTTTTCGAACAACCAAACACCTAAAGGCTTCAAGGGTGAATGTGGGCGATCACGAAAAGGGAAGAAAATCGGAGTAAGCTTATCTTTAAGCGTATCACTCGGGAAAAACAAAACACAGCGTTCTGACATCTCGGGAATTACAGGGCTTTTCTCTTCGCGAAGCAGCCATGTATTACAAGACAAAGGATTAGCATTCCAACCTTTCCTG